GTAGTACATGAAATCGATGTTTGTTTTTATCATTATTAGGATTTCGATTCACATATTTAATATGCAACATGGGAATATTATAGTAGTACATGAAATCGATGTTTGTTTTTATCATTATTAGGATTTCGATTCACAGATTTAATATGCAACATGGAAATATTATAGTAGTACATGAAATCGATGTTTGTTTTTATCATTATTAGGATTTCGATTCACAGATTTAATATGCAACATGGGAATATTATAGTAGTACATGAAATCGATGTTTGTTTTTATCATTATTAGGATTTCTATTCACAGATTTAATATGCAACATGGGAATACTATAGTAGTACATGAAATCGATGTTTGTTTATATCATTATTAGGATTTCGATTCACAGATTTAATATGCAACATGGGAATATTATAGTAGTACATGAAATCGATGTTTGTTTTTATCATTATTAGGATTTCGATTCACATATTTAATATGCAACATGGGAATATTATAGTAGTACATGAAATCGATGTTTGTTTTTATCATTATTAGGATTTCGATTCACATATTTAATATGCAACATGGGAATATTATAGTAGTACATGAAATCGATGTTTGTTTTTATCATTATTAGGATTTCGATTCACAGATTCAATATGCAACATGGGAATATTATAGTAGTACATGAAATCGATGTTTGTTTTTATCATTATTAGGATTTCGATTCACAGATTTAATCTGCAACATGGGAATATTATAGTAGTACATGAAATCGATGTTTGTTTTTATCATTATTAGGATTTCGATTCACATATTTAATATGCAACATGGGAATATTATAGTAGTACATGAAATCGATGTTTGTTTTTATCGTTATTAGGATTTCGATTCACAGATTTAATATGCAACATGGGAATATTATAGTAGTACATGAAATCGATGTTTGTTTTTATCATTATTAGGATTTCGATTCACATATTTAATATGCAACATGGGAATATTATAGTAGTACATGAAATCGATGTTTGTTTTTATCATTATTAGGATTTCGATTCACAGATTTAATATGCAACATGGGAATATTATAGTAGTACATGAAATCGATGTTTGTTTTTATCATTATTAGGATTTCGATTCACAGATTTAATATGCAATATGGGAATATTATAGTAGTACATGAAATCGATGTTTGTTTTTATCATTATTAGGATTTCGATTCACAGATTCAATATGCAACATGGGAATATTATAGTAGTACATAAAATCGATGTTTGTTTTTATCATTATTAGGATTTCGATTCACAGATTCAATATCTGCTTTTACAAGACAATATGCAACATGGGAAGATTGTAGTGGGACATGCATTCGTTGTTTTGTTTTTATATATGAAAATTTATTCAGAAATTATTTTTGGGAAGATATTTTTAACATAGGTGTAAAAAGAAAAAAAGTAACCCTTTTTGAACCTGATGGTCAATGGGCAGGTAAAGTAGAATTCGCCAGTTTATATGACCACAGCGTATGTAGGTATAGTTTGTCCAGCTACATGTACTTTCATAAACTTGAGACAGGTACTCATTAAAGCTGGGTGGACTCTGGGACGTCAAGTCACAAAAGAAAAACGGGAAAATCCAGGTTGATTTATGACAATTTCTTGCTGAAGCAATTTTTACTTGTTTTTTTTTCATTCAAGCAAGGACTCTAGAAAATTCACACATAAAAATATTGTGTATAGCTATGTATAATCGACGCAGTTAAATATTTCAAAGCTAAATATATCTTTCTTTTGAAACCATAATAAAGCAGTATAATTTGCAATTCCTAAAACTTTTTTAAAAAATTAACTTAAACTTAACACAAAAATAAACGATAAATCCTAAAAAACTAAAAAAATAAACCGGGAGTGATCTCCCCAAAACTTTCTCGAATATTCTTATATAAAATAACAGGGGATGGGAACTCGGGCTATAGACATGTTTTTTAATCCATTTTAAATACTTAAAGTTTTAAAAATAGAATAAAATCTCGTAGACAAAAAAATGAACACCAAGTGAACGCCAAATAAAGATGTGCATAATAGTGCGCAATTTTATTAGTACTTTATGAATTTACATGCGTTTTTTGAGAAATCGGAAATAGCGAAAATTAGTACTTACAGTTAACGAAAATTATTCAGAATTTGACAGAAGGTAGAGATTTAGATCTTTTACTTACATGTGAAATTTCATTTATCTATCTGAAATAGTACTCAAGTTATAGGTTTTTAAAAAATTCAAAGCAGAAAAAGTACCACTTCCGGTTATCGGAAATCGCTCAAAAGTTGATACGGATCTACGATTTTGATAAAATACTTATATATGAAATTTCATCAACCTAGCTGTAACGGTACTCAAGTTATCGTGTTTACACACACACACAGACATACGGACAAGATTGCAAAATTATGTTTTTCCGTATCAGTGAGATGTAAAACGTCGAGATTTGTAAAAATCTCGATTTTTTTTTTTTTTGCACCATTACAAGACTTTCTCTATACTTCGTATATACGAGAAAGTAAAAAGGTGTCCCCATTTGCACTAAATATTTTGTTCTCAATGTTAAAGACGCATCACTCAAAAAATAAGCAAATTCATGAGCGAGTCCCCTTGATTAGAACACCATTCACATTGAAGCAAGTCTAGAACATTAACATCACCAGTGTTTCTTTCAGACTTTTTTTCCAGGGGGGGGGGGGCACTTTAAAAAAATGTTGGGGGAGGGGGGCGGATTTAATTTTCCGGGGGGGGGGGGGCGGTAACTGGTAACATATATATCTTCTATATAAATTACGTTTCGTTCGGGGCGGGGGGGGGGGGGGGGGGGGGGAGCGCGAATAGACTTTCTTGGGAAAGGAAAGGCAGAGCCCCACCGAAGAGGTGACTGGAAAAACATCACACACTCAAAACCACCGTCGTCGCGAGACGCTGGACCCACATTTCGCTGATAAATGCCATGTGTCACACTTGAGAAGCCCTGAGCAGGAAAAGATAACACATATGCATGTTATGCGGGCAAGTCGAGTTAATGTCACCTATAAACCGTGTGACCCTTGTTGTCTAGGGTCATGTTATGAACGTGTGACCCCTGCTGTCTATGGTCATGTTATAAACGTGTGACCCTCTTTGTCTAACACGGGATAATGAAGTAGTTAATGCGCATTAGCTTAGTAAGCCGGAAGTAGAGGGTAAAAAAGGAATGGGGGGGGGGGGCGGGGTTCAACCTGTTTGTCGTTGACTTAGTGTGTAGTTATATATATAGGCGTATCTTTTACAACAAAGACGATGATAAAAACATCCTGCATGTTTGCTGAGCCGCTGCACATCGGTGCATATCACGAAGTAGGTCAGAGAAGGAATTTCTTGGTTATTGCAGGGATACTTGAAACCATAGAAGCAGAGTGGCATTCAGCTGTACGAACACGTAGCTGACTACACATTGCTGACAACATACAGACTACTGACAACACACAAACGCAAGACACAGCTGACAACATACAAACACACAGCTTACAACATACTGTAAACAACACACAAACACAGCTAACAACACACAAACACACTGCTGACAACACATTCCTGACACAAACACACTGCTAGCAACAGACATTCCTGACACAAACACACTGCTAGCAACACACAAACATGCTGCTGACAGCATACAAACAAAATGTTAACAACACACATACACACTACTGATAACACACACTCCTGACACAAACACACTGCTGAACACCAAAACTTGACAACCAATTGGACCACATGCTGGTGTAGGTGTTGTCCGTGTTAAGACATTGACTTGATCAAATGTGACTTGATAATTACACAATAAAAAAATTATGCAATAACTTAATTACCAACTGTGATAAACCTTAAAAAATATCCAGTTCCCTAAAAATTCTTAAGGATTGCCAAATATCACTACCACAACTCAGTTTAATTGTCCATTATTTTGTCTAATCTTTATTGTCTCATAAACTAACATCAGTATTGTGTTAATAAGAAGTTTGTGTTTTATTTATGTCTATAGGTGTACAGATAGAGCATCTATTTTATTAAGAAAAATTGGTAAACTATCTTTCAAATGACTTTCAGAAAATGTAATGATCCTTATGATAGATGAAGTAGAGTGGTTGTTTCTCAGCATTCAGTGTATGAAGGGATTATATAGACAGCTTTCTTCCTACCCCCCCCCCCCCCCCCCCCCCCTTTTTAATTTTCCGAGTTGGCAAATGTTCACTTGATATCAGCTCACCAATTAACATCACATGCCAACATTATGAAATACATAACAATATTTAAAAAAAAAACTTTTAAAAACTTAAAAGTTTAATGAAATCTTCATTATAAAAAATAATGTATGCATACAAATCACCACCCACACGCAACAATGGCCACACCTAATTAGCAGGACACACAGAAAATGACTGACATCTGGTGCTACTTACATCACAAACCACACATCACCACCCACACATACACACCCCATAATACAGCCTCAAGCACATTCTCCCGATCTATAATATTCAAATTCTCTGTCTATTATTGTAATCAACACAACTCTTAAAGTCTCAGAAATGTCATACAGTATTTGCTTACCTAGGTTTACATAGCTCTAATACTTTTTCATTCAATTTTTGAATGAAAAACAGTCTTTAACAACAACAAAAAACCATGTTAAAAAGTTAATGGCATATTCTAGCATTTATATTCTTCTAGCACCTAACAATTTAAAAGCATTATTTACCAAACACAAAAACATTTATTAATTTTTTTTTTTTATTCAGATGAACAAACTGCTACACAATTTATTTTTAATTTTAAAAATAAAACAAGGTAAATAACTCTCTTTAAACTTTAAGTAAATTTATGTTTATCTCCCTTGCTTCATAACAAAAATTATTTCCCAGTTAGGAGTTAATCATTATCATACAATGTAGATTACATGACATGGATTGAAAAATTGTGTCCACATTTTTCACATCCACATTTTGACAACAACCAAACAAGTTGCATAACTTACAGTGTCACATAACCTGAACAGGTTGGCTGAGGTTCAGTCAAGGTTCACCTGTATATTGAAACCTCCCTAGAAAGTTCAGTAAGTTTTTTAGCGCAATTTCCATTCTGGAGAATTGCGTTTATTAACCCGTCATTTCTGGATGTATGAATGTATGAATGTATGAATGGATGGATGTGTGTCCGCAGCTTTAAGTCGTATCTCCTCCTCAACGAAGCAATATCGATGACTAGTTCCAAAAGCAATTATGTTAAGCAAGTTACGAGGATGAACATAGGCTATAAAAATTCTGGGTTTCTTTCATGGATTTCCCGGAAAAGCCAAAAAACCTCGAAAAAATGCAGTTTTTGGCCCATATCTCGGCAACCAGACCACTTAGCGACTTGAAACATGTACCAATCGATTCCTGCCATAATTTAGAACAATATTGCCGAAGAAAGTTTTCAAAAATATCCTTTCGTTCGGTCACAAAAATGTTTTTTAATTAATTAAAATTTGGACCGAATTAGTAGGCATTTTTTCCAACCACACCACACGCGTCATCACGTTCAATAGCTGCACCATCACGTTCTATGGCTTCGTCATCACGTTCAGTAGCTAGGCGCGCAATGTTTTTTAGTCATGTAACTCTATTGTAAATAAAACATGTATTTTAACCAATGGTTTTACTAACCCTGCTCTTGATTTACGCTACGACAGAGCTATTTTTAGATAACATAAGGAAATTGCGCTAAAATTGTCACTAGACTTTTTAATTAACTTGTTTTATACTCAATCCCGATTTCATGGCTAAACAAAGTCTGTTATTCTGCATTTACAGCAGAAATGAAATGACAAGAATTCATCATGTTCAGGTTCCTAGTCTGGAACTTCAGAGTACATGGAGGTGTTGGTGATGGGGTGTCAGCTCATAACCCAAACTTGGGGGTGCGTCTGGGGGTCAGTGCTGGGGTGCCCGGCTCCCTTTGGCCAGGTGTAACAATCTTGGAGCTACTGCAGAAAAAAAAAATGATAAAATCTGTAACAGATTATTATTTAAAGTGCTGCAGCAAGATTTAAAAATCATAAAGACAACTTCAGCAATGAAAGAAGAAAAAAAATTCTGAAGTGTAACAGTTTAAGATTTTTTTTTTGGCAACTTTAAATAACTAACTTTAAATTTTCATTTCCTTTCTATGGAAATGGTAGAGGCCCTATGTTCCGTAATGAGCAAAGAGGACTAAGTCAAGTCAAATTATTCTGAATCTTTGTACGTAAGCTTTTAACCCAGTTATATTCTAGTTAAAAAAAAATAGTGTAAAATTAAATTTAAAAAATGGGTAACAGCTAGTAAAATTGTTATATGTACTTCATAAATTGCCAGAAACCCCTCGGCATATACCTGCACCCACAACCTTCAAATGATTGGTTTAAAAACAGGTATAAAACAACAGGTTTAAAACAACAGGTTTAAAATTATATGCTTAAACTACAGGTTCAAACAACAGGTTTAAAATAAGGTTTAACTACAGGTTTAAAACAACAGGTTTAAACAACAGGTTTAAAAACCTGGTGTAGAACCACAGGTGTAAACCCACCTTCTAACTGAGATTGGCGTCCTGTCCTGCTCCTTCCTTGCCTTAATTAATTCCTCAGCTCGTTTCATCTCATCCTCCATGGCTTTCATCTCCTCCCCCTCCTGGCGCTTCCGCTCCTGGTTTTAAACACAACATTATACATACAGCACTGGTGACGGGTACCTATTAAGGCTGAGTAGGCTCAAGGTATAATGAATCAAGTCAAAACCACAACACAAATATTATTGAAATATAAAATCTTTAGTTAATTAATCATCAGATTGCATACATCACAATCATTAAGTTCTTTAGTCATCAACATATTGTGTGGTAAAAGGTTTCTGATCAAAATACCAAAGGAGCTTTACTATTATTATTATTGGTAAAGGGCGTAGATTGGTTAAATTTATTAACAAAATGCGGCACTTAGATTTCGCCATGAGCTACGCATGTATTCTCCTCGATAGAATAGCGACTTTACTTTTTTACTTTACATTCCTGCAAAAACAGCTGTGCTAAACCCGCTCGGCAAAAATTGCGATCTATTTTCGAACATGGTCGGTGCACTTTCAATAAGTTCCTCATTTCGCAGTGCCAACAATGTTCTTATTCGGCATGCGGGCGCTGACCATTGTAACAACAGAGGTGCTAGTTGTGGCTTTCCAATCATTTCATTAGGACAGGGGTCGGCAACCTGCGGCTCGCGAGCCGCATGCGGCTCTTTTGATGTCAAGGTGCGGCTCTTCAGCTCCAAGCATAAATATCAATAATTATTTTATTTTAATTTTAAAACCCATGAAAATATTAGTCTGCAACAATCAGTAATGAATGATATAATAATAAATATAAACAATAAACACTCGCAATTATATTAGAATATTTAGTTACTCCATTTTTACTTTCTCTTATATACGAAGTATAAAGAAAGTCTTGTAATCGTGCAAAAAAGATCGACATTTTTGCAAATCTCGATGTTTTAGTGCTCTCTGAGACCGAAAAACATAGTTTTGCAATCTTGTCCGTATGTCTGTGTGTATGTGAGTATCGTTACAGCTAGGTTGATGAAATTTCATATATAAGTATTATATTAAAATCGTAGTTACGTATCAACATTTGATTGATTTCCGATAACCGAAAGTGGAACATTTTCTACTTTGAATTTTTCACTAGCCTATAATTTGACTACTATTTCAGATAGATAAATGAAATTTCACATGTAAATAAAAGATCTAATTTCCTGCTTTCTTTCAAATTTTGAGTAATTTCCGTCGACCTGAAGTAGTAATTTACGCTATTTCCGATTTCTCAAAAAAAAAAAAAACGCTTGTGAATGTATAAAGTACTAATGATTTCACGCACTATTATGCACATTACATTTGGCGTTCACTTGGTGTGCAATTCTTTTTTTTACGAGATTCTATTCTATTATAAAAAGTTTAAGTAATTAAAAATGGATAACAAATATTGTCTATGTCCTGAGTTACCATCCCTCGTAGTGTTATATTAGAATATTCGAGAAAGTTTAGGGGAGATCACTCCCGGTTTATTCAATGTAGGCTACTTCCTTGGTGTCTAAAACTGAGTTATTTAAATGTAAACAATGCCCGTGCTTGGATAATATTTATCGGGGCACGGGTTTACCTACACTACCGCCCAGCTCGCCATAAGGCGTGCTGAATGAAAGCCTTGAATGCAAGTTAATCACTAACTGTAATATTACAGTTAATCACTCAACGCCTAAGCGCCGGGGACGGAAAGTGGCGCTCTTTTGAACCCAATTACACTATCGCAGGGGCGCAATGTACAGCCCCAGCTCGGTTTAATCAACGAATGTCGTGTGCCGCATTATCAATATTGTTGGGTGCTCTTTAAAACTAACGTAGGCGCGTAGTGCTCGCGGGATAGCCCTGGGCCCCAAATTGCACCCTGTAGAGCGACCCATTTAGTGTGCGACCCATTGTATTGCAAATGAATCTAGGCGCCATGGTGCTCACGGGTAAGCTCGGGACGCCAAATCGCTCCCTGCCGGCGCGCCTGATTCGATTAAGTCAACAATTACTGTTGCCCATCGTGTCTTTAGTGTATAGCTTTTTTTTAAACTAACGTAGACGCCATAGTGCTCACAGGTGATCCCGGGGCTCTTTGGATGAACGGTGTCGAACTGCATCCGACTTTTTTAATATACCGCACCCTCCCAAGGCGCCGCCCTTGCGAAATTTAAAAAAAAACATGTTTGTTGCAGAAACCTCCCCTGGAGTGTTCTAATCAACTCCTCAAAGTTTCATGACGATCGGTTGGAATGTGTCAATCCGCAATCGACCTTTAATTTTATAAGCCGAATCGCTCCCTTCAGGGGCGCCACCACTGCGAATTTTAAATACTTCTCAGGAGTATTCTCAACAAATTCCTAAAGTTTCATGGCGATCGGATGAAAGGTGTAGTGATGAATTAAAGACAATCAGACACACACCTATATATATATATATATATATATATATATATACAGAGGCGTAGCGACCCTTCCCGGCGCCCGGGGACATACTTTCAATTTGGCGCCCCCCTCGGGAGCAAATTTTCGATTTGCACCCCCCCCCTCAAACTTTCGATTTGCACCCCCCCCCCCCTCGAACTTTTCATTTGCACCCCCCTCAAACTTTCGATTTGCACCCCCCCCCCCGCCCTCGAACTTTTCATTTGCACCCCCCCCCCCTCAAACTTTCAATTTGGCGCCCCCCTTAAGGTCGGCGCCCGGGGACATATGTCCCCCCCCCGCCCCCCCCCCTCGCTACGCCTCTGTATATATATATATATATATATATATATATATATATATATATATATATATATATATATATATATATATATATATATATATATATATATATATATATAATCCTAATCACATATGATAATATTGAAATTAAAATCTGTGCGGCTCTTTAAAAGCTGGGACATTTTATAAATGGTAACTTTTGGCTCTTCTGTCTCAAAAGGTTGCCGACCCCTGCATTAGGAGTATGACAGGGGATAGCGCGAACGCAGTCCCCCCTACGAAAAAATTACGCACCCGAGTCACCCACATTTGGGGTGATCGCAGGGGTCAACCCACACGAAGTGCAATGTGCAGGCCTCGCCCTGGGAGGACCGCCTTGCTGATCAAGGTGCCTCCTGTGCCAGGTAAGTATGATTGATCAAGGGGCCGGCTCAGCACTTCAAAAGGACAATGAAAGAAAGCTAATGCGTTTCTGTGTATGCATATGGCAGCATTATAGTGTGGCTTGACATGTTACACACTTCAAATTATCAGCAGCGGTTTAAAAAGATTATTTTCGGCGGAAATACCAGAAACAAATATGTAATATTAAATTACAAAGGCGGGCAGGTTTATGAGTAAAAGATATCCTACTGTACTTCGAATTACTTTCCTTATCTCATTGTTTTTCACCTTTATTACTTCCCATTACGGACAGCAACAGTACAGAAGTCTCGGTTTCTTTCTTACACTACAGTTCTATTTAAAATGGCTTCACTGTAACGTAAAATGCCCTACCCATTAGGTTTGGATTTTATTTTCAAAATATCAACACAAAACCTAATTTACATAAATAAAAATTAATGTTATGTTTAAAATTATATCACTGAAAGACAACTGGCCAATGAAGTCATTCACCTCCAGTTGGTGATGTGTGATGACCCGAAGGGGTGTGGGCCAGGTTAAGATATGTGACAAATAGACTACAAATTATGTAATTTTAAAAATAAGTTGAATAGCTTTGCAATAAGTTCAATAAGAACTAAAATTCCGCAATGCAGACAAGGGACTTAACTCTCTTCAGTCATCACTACAGTTACTAAGTTATGGGGCTTAACTCTCTCACCTGCCGTGACTTGGAAGCGTCCTTGATGCTGTAGAACATGGGACCTAACTCTGCCAGCCAGTGGCCGTCCACAGCAGTCACACATTGCATGTACTCCTACAGGGAGAAGAGGAAACACATCCACATAGTAATAATAATAATACAGCACATCAGTAACACACGTCTTTAACACATGTCTTTAACACACGTCTGTAACACACAGTTAACACACACGTTAGGGGAGCAAAGGCGACTGGTGATAGTGATTACCACACTATCCCCTTGCATTGCCAGGGTCACTGAAACAGATTCACTCTACTTCACCTGACCCATCTAATAAATAGGTAAAGATGATGCTGATGATAAAACATCATTAACTCCTGACATTAACATATATCATCACGCATCATTAACTCATTAACACACCACATCTTTAACACTGCCGATCCATATATAAGTAGAACATTTCATAAACATACATCATTAACACTCATCAGTAACACACATAATTAACAACCACATATTATATCCACACTGTAATAGCACATTATTAACAAAAACCATGAGTACATGGGACGCCATGGTCGGGAAATAGAATTCTTGAGTGTTAACATATATGTCTAAAGTTTGGGTCTCAAAACTAAGTCTACAAGACACCCCCGGGACCACCCAGCTCTTATGAGTACCTGATGTACGTTAAGGTAATTAAAGGTGACTGGGCATAGTGCTGACTATATTTATTGATTTAAACTATTAGACATGTATATAGAAAGAAATTGGCAAGTTCATGGTCAATTATTTGAAGCTTACATTAGAGGTCATGAACAGGTCAAAGATTCCAACCTTACCTTAGAGGTTATGACAAGGTCACGGTAAATGATTCCAGCTTACCTTAGAGGTCATGACAAGGTCAATGATTCCAACCTTACCTTTCATGAAAAGGTCATGATGAAAAGGTCATGGTCATTGATTCCAACTTTTCGTTTGCGGTCATGACAAGCTCATTGATTCAAAGATTACATTAGTCTAAGTTGTCACAATGAGGTCAAGGTCAATGACTCCAATTACCTTAGAGGACATGTCGAGTTCAAGGTCAATTAGTCCAACCTTGCATTTGAGGTCATGAGGAGGTCAGGGTAAATGAGTCCAAGCTTACCTTAGAGGTCATGGTCAATGATTCCGAGCTTACATTAGAGGTCATGACAAGGTCAATGAATCCAAGCTTACCTTAGAGGTCATGACAAGCTCGTGGTAGACGATGTAGTCAGGTGTGTAGCCCATACCAAACAGAGCACTGGTGGGGTGGAGGTGACACGGCATACCTGTACGTGTGTTCACGTACTCACCCAGGCCCTGTACAACACAACATAATACATTTTGTTCATTATTGACTTGTTCACAACAAAACATTTATAAAAAAAATTTTTGTAGACAAATGTCATATTACATTGTTTTCAAAATTGAGATGGAAAATATAATCAGATAGATAGAAAGAGAGACAACTCATGAAATTAATTTAGTGTATTCGTTTTTTAACAGTACTTTACCCTGAGGGGACAAGTACATATTGTTTGAAATAAAGGTTCTATACCCTGCTTATTTTTTTTTTAATACAAGTAACTTAAAATACATTTATAAAATGTAAAACTATGTTGCTTATAATGCATAAATGGGTTTTTAATGTAAAAATGCAGAACAAACATATTTTGTTTGTTCTGTTGTTTTTTTTTTAGATCATTTTTGGAGGCAAAGTTTAGAAGAGTTGTCTAACCTTAAGCCTGGCAGCCTGATGGAAGTAAGCCGAGCAGATACACTTCCTGATGATGTCCCACTCGGTGCCACAGGAGATCAGGTCCATCTTCTGCTGCTCCATGATCTCTCGCAGTTGCTGCTGGACCTCTCTCACCTGGGGGGGGGGGGGGGGGGGGGGGGGGGTACGGGACATAGAGGTGGTGGATCAAAGGGGTGAGGGAACATGGAGGTGGGGGAAAAATGGGAGTGGGGGACAAGGGGTGGGGGGATCAAAGGTGTGGGGGGACAAGGGGGTGGGGGAACAAGGGGGTGGGGGACAAGGGGGAGGTGGATCAAAGGTGTTGGGGAACAAGGGAATGGGGGATGGGGGATCAAAGGGGTGGAAGAACAAGGGGGTGGGAGAACAAGGGGGTGGGGGAACAAGGAGGTGGGGGATCAAGGGGGGATCATGGGGGTGGGGGAACGAGGGTGGGGGAACATGGAGGTGGGGGATCAAAAGGGTGGGGGAACAATGGGATAGGGGAACACATGCATACATTTTAAAAATGTGTTCTTGAAACAATTTGTTTTAAAATACAGCAAAAACAATACAAGTTAATTCTTGAATGTTAATGAGCACATCTAACATGGTCAAATTCTCAACTCCAGCCTGAGTCCACCCAGCTCTAATGGGTACCTGACTTACTTTAGGTAAAGTAAAGGTGGCAGAGCAGAACTAAATATCTCTTTATCACACAAGGTAACTAAATCAGGTGAGCTTTACTTCATTTGCGATAATCGGTGAAAATATTAATAGGAAACTTTAAAATGAATATTTTAAAAATGGGTTTGATTTACAACAGTCTCTGAGGGTACACTGTTGAACAACTCCAACTAAGCTAATAACCTAAGCCATGGGTCTCCAAACTTTTCAGTCCGAGGGCCGCATTAACTATCAAATTTCAGTTCGGGGGCCAGTTACTTCCAGGCATGTCTTTGATTTTTTCTGCGCAAAGTTCTTCAGCCATCACCAACAAACGGTTTTTCCTGGGAGAAAAGGATCTCCGCGGGCCGGATGAGAGGACTTCATGGGCTGCATCCGGCCCGCGGGCCGTAGTTTGGAGACCCCTGACCTAAGCAATGGTTACAATAAACAACGTCACACCTGTTAGCACCAATTGTAACAGGTTACTTTATTAACCATGATTACAATAAACAGCAACACGCCTATTAGTGCCAAATGTAATAGGTTACTATCTGAGCAATAATGTGTTTGCTTACCTTTCTCATAGCTTTGACGTGAATAAAATGTTCGTTACACCACGATGAAGAGTACCTGAGGAGATATAAAAACATCAACTGAGTGGATCAGTCATGGGATCTAATGATCACGTGACCTAATAATAGCAGTATTGCTCGTTGTTTTATTTTTTATTTTTAAAGTGTATGGTCGGACAGTAGATTACATGACTGCTAACCAAAAGTCTCGAGTTCAGATCCCGATATCAAGTCTGTAGGTTATACCTGAGTCCGCTCAGCTCTGATGGGTACCTAACTCTAACTCATATTAGGGAAAGTAAAGGCGACGGGGCAAAGTGATGACCACACCTCCCCTTCAAGAAACATATGAACTCTACTTCTTCTGTCCAATAGATCACTAGGTCTAAAGAGGATTCTTTACTTTGCCTCCCTCTGATGGATGTCTCACGTTAAGAAAGTGAAGGCAGCTTGGCATAATAGCGACCACACTATCCCTTTATATCTTTATATGCCAAGGTTACAGAAACAGATAAACTCTACTTCATCTGCCAGGTTTAAAAGTGTAAGAGTAATTATTTTTTCCACACAGGTGGGCTAGGGCTAAAGCCTAAAGTGAGATCAACACAGACGGTTAGGGTTCAAATCCTACCCGTTTCTCTTCCACTGCTGGTAGACGTTGAGGTAGGTGAGGTGATCGCTCTCAGGCACCATAAACTTTTCCCTGGCGGCATCGGAATCTTCTTCCCTCCCTTTAGGCCTGTAGAAGATGGCCGGCACTGACAACATGGAGACGATCGTCTGAAATGAGAGTACATTGTGTTAAATATATTACAATTGGGAAAAGATGTAATCGGGTGGGGGTGGGGGTGGGTGTGGGTGGATGGGTGGAAGAGGATATGTATAAACAATTTGTGGTCTCAGACTTAGAAGAACGAAATGGCTTAATCCAATGTGTTTAGGCAACATGGCTGATATAAAGGTGTCAGGTCTGGTATAATGTGTCAGTGTGTAAGGTGTCAGTGTGTAAGGTGTCAGTGTGTAAGGTGTCAGTGTGTAAGGTGTCAGTGTGTAATGTTTCAGTGTGTAAGGTGTCAGTGTGTAAGGTGTCAGTGTGTAAGGTGTCAGTGTGTAAGGTGTCAGTGTGTAAGGTGTCAGTGTGTAAGGTGTCAGGTCTGATATAAGGTGTCAGTGTGTAAGGTTTAAGGCAGGGGTTCCCAACCCCGTGCCCACGGGCGCCATGGCGCCCGCCGAACGATTCGTATGTGCCCGCCTCTCACTATTCGACAGAGACAGAATTTTTTTCATAAACATTATTGAAAGGTTGAAGGGGATGGAAATCGAAAATTTGAGGGGGGGGGGGGGGTGCAAATCGACAGTTTTGTCCCCGGGTGACGGGAAGGGTCGCTACGCCTCTGGAAGGAGTTTGTCGATTTAAAATAGGTGGTGCCCGCCACCCTACCGATATTTTAGAATGTGCTCTAGAGTAAAAAAAAGGTTGGGAACCCCTGGTTTAAGGTGTCAGTGTGTAAGGTGTCAGGTCTGATATAAAGTGTCAGTGTGTAAGGTGTCAGGTCTGCCATAAGGTGTCAGCGTGTAAGGTGTCAGGCCTTGCGTAAGGTGTCAGATCCAGCGAAAGGTATTTGGGTGTAAGGTGTCAATGTGTAAGGTGTCAGAGTGTAAGGTGTCAGGGTGTGGTGTCAGTGTGTAAGGTGTCAGTGGGTAAGGTGTCAGTGGGTTAGGTGTCAAATCTGGTATACAGTGTCAGTGTGTAAGGTTTAAGGTGTCAGTGTGTAAGGTGTCAGGTCTGGTTTAAGGTGTCAGTGTTTAAGGTGTCAGGCCTTGCATAAGGTGTCAGATCCAGCGAAAGGTGTCAGGGTGTAAAGTGTCAGGGTGTAAGGTGTCAGGTCTGGTATAAGGTGTCAGGTCTGGTATAAGGTGTCAGTGTGTAAGGTGTCAGGGTGTAAGGTGTCAGGTCTGGTATAAGGTGTCAGTGTGTAAGATGTCAGTGTGTAAGGTGTCAGGGTGTAAGGTGTCAGGGTGTACGGTGTCAATATAGCATGACACACTTGTAGATAATGCATAACGCCCCCCCCCCCCTTTTACACTTACAGTGGGACATCCATGTTGTAATTACAATTGATAATACATATACGTTAATAAGTGGCCTAAGTGTATAATTGTAATAGTTAAGAAACGATTTAACAATTATATTATTGTTTAATAAGTTTAAACACATTGCAGTTTGAACAACAGCATTGTTTTACATTGAACAACAAATTTTATTGGTTACTTCCCTTATTTAGAAAAGCAACGAAATCAAGGGATACAACTTTTCCAAATAGTTGTAAGAAATACAAAAGAATCCAATTAGTAATAAAATAAAAAAGTGTATCAGTGCTTTTTGTTATATGTTACAAGAACACTAAAACCCTTAAATGACTGTTCATCTGATTTTATTCTAAATAATCTGTTCAAATATTATTTTACTTTAATTTAAATAGAAAATCGCTAGCTAATTCACTTGCAGTCTTGTGAAATATAAGCTAAATCGACACCGTAATGAATTATTTCGTCCAAGTGTTTAAACCTATCAAAATTTGATTCTCGGTCTTCTGACTATGATAAAAATTTGGTATGCCTGTTTAAAAATATCCAGATGAAAATGAAAACTGTGCACCTCATCTCTATTAGGGATCATATATTGCTCAGACGTTGAACAAAATGATCAAAAACTAGCTATACTTATCTAAGACCACCCTTCCACGCATCCATTACCTCCAGTTTAAACTGTCGAGAAGAGCGGAGAAAAGTCTCCGTGGACATATTGTAAGATAAGTAAACAGCCATATCTTACTAATGAAATACAGTAGGTCAAATACATGGTATTTGTCTTCCGATGGTGCCAATGTCACAACAATGAATAGCGTAACCTAGTTGTATGTACCATACACTGACCACATACATTTCACCTTAGATACAAGAGATAGAGTCTATGGCACACTTGGATGGGTCCCTCTTTCACTTCCACACATCACTGAACAAACCACATCTTAATATACCTCAACCCACAACCTCAACTTCAATCCCTAGAGTCCAGTCTTTGGACACAATACAGTCAGTCACCTCCCATCCTTAGAGTCCAGTCTTTGGACACAATACAGTGGGTCACCTCCCATCCCCAGTCTTTGGACACAATACAGTGGGTCACCTCCCATCCCTAGAGTCCAGTCTTTGGACACAATACAGTGGGTCACCTCCCATCCCTAGAGTCCAGTCTTTGGACACAATACAGTGGGTCACCTCCCATCCCCAGTCTTTGGACACAATACAGTGGGTCACCTCCCATCCCTAGAGTCCAGTCTTTGGACACAATACAGTGGGTCACCTCCCATCCCCAGTCTTTGGACACAATACAGTGGGTCACCTCCCATCCTTAGAGTCCAGTCTTTGGACACAATACAGTGGGTCACCTCCCATCCTTAGAGTCCAGTCTTTGGACACAATACAGCCAGTCACCTCCAATTAGGGCCACTCCTCTGTCAGATAATACCAAACTGAGCTGTGTGCTTAATGGTTCAATGGCAATCTGCTCGGCAATTATTATATTTTTTAATAATAATTATGTTTTATAAGCTTCGATTTAATTTAATATATTCCTCTGTCGTTACTGATGTATGGGCCAGAATTGTTTCAAACTTGGCACGTAGGTCAAGACCTGATAGCAATGGAATGTGACAAACTTTGGCTTAGTTAAATGTTTAATTTGTTTTTAATCAATCAAGTATAAATAGATGCAGAATATAATGCATATAACGTTGCGATATTATGCAATGAATACTGATTTTAAATTTTTAGCGATGCCGTGAAACAAGTTGTCGCAACAAAAAAAAAAGAGAAAAAAAAAAAACTGTACCATCCCTGGTTCCAAATAGTGCATGGGAGACTAAAAAAGGCAAAATATTTGGGATGGGGGTCGTCCATACATGACGTCACGCTTCGAGGGTTCGAACATTTGTGTCATTTTTCTGCTTTGAAAGTATTTTTTTTTATAATGAATGTCAGCAGTTATTTCTCTTTTTGGCTTACTTATTATATGCTTTCTGTATATTTTTATTGGTGTGAATTATAATAAAAACATATCAGTGTGCCTAACCTGACCAACGCCAATTAGATCTGGGAAATAGCAAACAAACATGACAACTAGGGAAGGAGGTTTAGGGGAAGGGGGTGGGGGGCTGACTGTTTGTGACACTGTGTGACGAGGGGATGTGGGAGGGGATGGGGATAAAAGTCGGCCATAAAAAAACATGACGTTGTTAATGGGCCAACCCTTATTGCTTATCTTTGTTACTACAATTTACCTGAATGCGATAGGGTCCTCCATAAACAACGTCATGCTTTTTTTAACGATTTCATCTCCAACATGCCCGCCCCCTCCCTGTTTCCATAATTAGAGTCACACATTGTCACAAAAAAAATCAGAGCCCCCCCCCCCTTTATTTAAATTAACGTCACATATCAGCTGGCAACACCCTACCCCTCCCTCTCAAAATTGCAATTTTTGTGTTTTGAAACATCGATTTTTTTTTAAATAAAATATTAATTAACATCGACCAAATTTTCAAAAACGTGTCTTTTAAAGCGTGAGATTAAAGGTAAAATTCAGTTGCTAACGGTACTTTTTAAATTGAGAAAGTGTGTCGCCACACTTTCTAAACCCCCCAACCTCCCCATCGTCACAATTTCCCTAACCCCCCCCCCCCCCCCCCCCCCCCACCCCCTAGGATTGTGACGTCGTTCATTGACAACATAATGTCTAATTTTCAGCAACAACAATTTTTTTTTAAATAATAAATACAGAGTTTTTCTCTCAATAGCTTATTTCGCAAAAATAAAACATTCGCTAATTCGCGTCGCCAAAATGCACATTTTCACTTACATAAAACCTTCCTGCACCGGTGCGAAAAAAAACACATAAATGACCGGGCCGACTTCCGGTGACAAGATCAACACAGCCATACAAGCAAACACGGCTGACATCGCCAGTGAGGCGCTAGGGGAAAATTTTGGAAAAAAAAACTTAGCAAAAAAAAAATATTGAACAAACAAAATAAAATCCCACGTGTCCACACACCCATATCCAGGGCGACTTATCCGTGGATGGTGGATAAAATATGTAACCAGATATAACATAAAATTCAGGTTTGTAAAACAAACACAAAATAGAGTTTTTATCTTGATCTAGAATCTAGACTAGAATCTACCTCCAATCAATATTCGATACATTATTTCGAAAAGTGTCAACCCTGAAAAAATCGGAAGTTACATCAACGATCGCAAATTTTGGGTGAATGACTTTTTTGATAGAATGCGCTAATACCGAGAAACTAGTTAGGTGAGCATTAAATCTAGACGACGAGAACTGGCGAGACTAGATAAGACTAGTCTTATGCTTAGTCCAAATCTCGCGATATTTGGGGGATGATAAAGGGTCGGCATAGTTGGATCGGTTAAGCTCATGGTTGCTGAACCGAAAAGTCTCTAGTTCGAACCCCCGGGCAGTTGAGGCTCGATAGCTGAGGACAGCAACTCATCTAGGAGAGAGGACTCCAAAATCAAACAACTGCTGCTTCGTAGTTTTTTTTCTTTGATGAACAAAGACCATGGAAGCTAATCAAAAAAGAAAAGCAGGCTGAAATCGGGTACAACCCTATACGACGCATAACAAACTGAAACGTACTACTTAATTGTGTTGGAGAGAAATAGGAGTCCCTTCAAACATTATAATAAAGAACATAGGAGAAGAAAAAGAAGGAGGTAACAAATATTCCCGGCTATTAGGAGGATTTCCCGACAGTGACCAAAGTTTCCTATTAAACTAAACACATCAGCTCTGGTTCTAACACCAAGATAAAAAATTCTTAACGGTATAACTGCGATTGCGGCAGGGAAAAAATATTGCCTCTGTGTTGCCCTAGTTGAGAGCTAGAAGGACAATGTGTCTATGTTCTAACTGCGGGCAGGTACCCAGAGGTGCCGTGTTCTACCAAAATAACCCGGAGATATTTTATTACAGTTCTGTTGTGACCAATGCTCGAACCCAAACCAGCGAGACTGCACGCTATATTCCCTCGTCACACACCCTCTTATGTGTAGAGCGTGGCCTAGCGGTACAGCGCTAGACTGCTAACACGAAAGCCCGGGTTCACGCCAGTAGAATGTCCCTGAGTCCACCCAGCTCTGATGGGTACCTAACTTACGTTAGGAAAAGGAAAAGCGGCTGGGCATTGTACTGACCACACTACCCCTTCTCATGCCGAGGTCACAGAAACTGGTGAACTCTACTTCACTTGTCTCATGGACCGTAAAGTTCAAAAAGGGAACTTTACGCTTTAATTACGCTCTTTCCATCTTTCCACCTCGTTCCGGACGTGCGCGTTCCCCCCCCCTCAGGTGAGTTTGTCCCAAAAATATAAACACAAACCCACCAGCATGTTCCGCTTGATTGATTAACCGGTATCCGCGCATCAATCCTGCGCACGGCCGTCATCAGATGGCCATGGAGGTGTCTGGATCACGTAACACTGCACGCGACATTAATAAAACTTAACATCATCATCCCACCACCAGTTCGTGGAGATAGAAAAAAAAACTAATTTAATCTCTCTTCACGTTACGGCTATCTATCAGCGAGCCCGCTAAGCACTTTAGTTAAAAAGGTCACTGTATTTACCTTTTATTAATGGTGACCATAGTTTTATCACCTAGAAGCAAAGGGCTATTGTTAAACAGCCTGCCATGTCTAGGCTCCATAAGGATTAGCCATTTGAATTCAATAAGAAATCATAGCATTCTACCGTAAGTAAGTACTTAATAATGAATCGGTATACAAATCGTTTGTTTTTTTACTGTTAGGCATGTTGTTTCACATAGCTGTTGAATAGTGTTAAATATTATCATTAATTGATCTTATCTATGTTGTTCCCTAAGAAAATGCCTTGAGTTTATATCTTGTGCTACAAAGAATACAAAATAGTTCGCTATGGAAAGGTCTATCTTGAGATATTCGACTTCTGAAACATGGGTAATTCTCCATGGAATAATTTACATTGAGTTAATTTTGTATTGAGATATTGTTTCTAGAAATAGTCTGGTAATAGTCAGTTATATCCTCCACGGTAGAGCAAAACCTCAGCATGGTCAGCATCTAATTAATCCAACCCTCCAGCCGTGGTACACAACTAAGACTAATTTTAACCTGATTTCATAGCACCCCCTGCCTCCACCCCTTCTTACACCGTCCAGAAAATAATACCTACACTCTACCCCTTGACGAATATCCGGGTCTGCACGCATGACTTCCTACCCCTCAGATTTCACCCGTCTCGGATAAAGTCCACCCCACCTTTCTCTTACACCCGTCTCGGATAAAATTCATCCCAAATACCCTTGGACGTGGCCGTGTGAAGCCGAAGTTGCCCGCTCGCTACACTAGTAGAGTCGGGTGACTCGTGGCTCGGGTGCAAACATTAAGTAGAGAACGTAACGAGGGATCGTGTGAAGATGTTTATCGTCTCTACAGCATAAGTCCGCATTACGTGGGGACTGTCACAACACCTTGGGCTTACACCATATATATGTTACTTTTGGATAGATAGCTTTTATATAGTTCAAATCCATGATGCAGCATTTTAATACAAAATCAGTCATGCTCATCATGTTGTTCTATTATATGTATATATACATACATGTATTTATATATAAATGTATTTATTTATATATATATATATATATATATATATATATATATATATATATATATATATATATATATATATATATATATATATATATATATATATATATATATAGATAGATATATATATATATGTGTGTGTGTGTGTGTGTATGTATGTGTTTACATATATACACACACACACACATATATATATATATATATATATATATATATATATATATATATATATATATATATATATATATACACACATAGTATACTGTCCTGATGTGTTTTTTTTAATGCTCGAACCAACAACGCTTTAAAGATTTGTTTTCCTATACATTTCTAATCAAACACTTTGTGAAATAGAACGGTTGTGTAATAATGGCGAGAGATAGACCACGCATTCTTAACCATGATGCCCAGTTAGATCTAGAACAAAACGGTATTTAAATCTCGAAAAAAAAAAGAAATATGAAACTTTAGGGCAGTATAGTTATAAGAAAGCTATATAAACATGCATACACACCACCCCCATATATATATATATATATATATATATATATATATATATATATATATATATAGGCCTATGTGTATAATTTTAGCAACAAGCAGGTTGTTATAGGTCAGTTAATGGAAGTAGACCACTGAATTAATTAATTCAAACAAAGTTAGGACATGATACCAAAGATAAAAAGTAACCGATTATATTAAACAACCCTATAGACTACATTAAACAACTGCATATATTAAACAACCACATATATTATATTGAATAACCGCATATATTAAACAACCGAATATATTAAACAACCGAGCTCCCATATCTCAAGTTGTATCAAGAAGCCTGAAGTGGGGCCGGCGAGTCAACAGATGCCAGAACATTCTGGAAGTTTTCCTACCATGTTTTACAGCGTCCTCGTTGAAACGTGTGGAAAAAAAGCTTGAGGCAGTGTGCAAAAAAAAAGATAAAGCTGATTTGTTATTGTTTTTTTTTTTAAGTCTTGGTTCGATCGTAAGAAATATTTGTGTAGATAGCACAGAAATGTGGACTAAGAATAATGTGAACAGAAGTGTGTAATAAAGATATTTATAGCGGGGATGTATCTAGTGGTGGCGGTGGCAGGGAGGGTGCTGAGGGGTTAGAGGCACCCCCGTCTCTATTAAGACTGCTGCCGTTACAGGTTGACTTACAGCTGTAGGCTCGTGGCACTATCAATGCTTATCAATGCTTCTGATTTGAATGTCATAAAATCATAAAACCACAATTTTATGTTCCCCCGTGTCCCCCACCACCCCATCCCCCCACCCTTCTCCGGCAAGACAAAAACTGGTGGAAATCACTTTCTGTTTTAAAGTTAGGTATATTAGGTAGATGGATACGGAATATTATTTATCAGAGGATATCTCTCAATATATATATATATATATATATATATATATATATATATATATATATATATATATATATATATATATATATATATATATATATATATATATATATATATTTATATATATATATATATATATATATATATATATATATATATATATATATATATATATATATATATATATATATATATATATATGACATTACTGCCGAATTTTTAAGCTGACTTATATTATCAGATCGTATATGAAATGTTTGGGACAGGGATATAATTAAACCAGGTTACAACGTTATGTCAGGTGTGCTGAGGACCCACGTACCCGACTTATCAAATATTTCGTTACGGTCGGGTTGGTGAGTTTTGCACCCGATTCTAAGGTGACCCGAACCTATAGCCAGCATCGAATACCTTGGGTTCCCCGCGTCGGGCATTAAGGTCACGCATGTTTAGATTTACCTGTCAAAAGGAATGTATATTAATATATAGGGTATATTGGTAATAAGTAGTAAATGTATGATGTGAAGTTAATCTATTATGTGTAATTGACACAGGGGAGAGTTAAAGAAGAAAAGGATGGCTACGCTTTAAACAAAATTAAAGAGCAACGCTAAATGAAACAAATGTATGCACCGATCTTATAGAGACAAGACTTAAGAGGCAGTCGTATTCATTTAGGTAAGTCGTTTGTAGCTTTATAGCAATCACTCTCTCCCTTTTTCCTCCCCCTAAAAACAAAGTCACTTATCAACACGTAAACACAATCATAAATGAAAGCGTCAAAGCTGATGTTCCAATAGACTTGATTGGGTTTACAAGACAGCGCCCCATGTGATCACAACACCACAATGGAACCGTGCGCAAAGTTTGCATGCAATAAAACAAAAATGTGGGTTAGTTTTGTGCAAAGGAGACAAACAAAAAAAATTTACATTATAAGTTCGTGTGAAGACGGTTTTTAAAAAAAATAAAATAAAATCTCGATGATAAGGTTACAGCTACCAGTATCGCTTACACTTTAGATTGTGTAAGAGCTGTGTGTAATTTATCTTTATTTAAGACATTGTTTTAACTTAGACGTGTAGTATTCAGGTAAGCATCTTTCAATGTTTTCAAGATAAAGCTTTTTTTAGAGGGATTAATGCATAATTCAAGACACAATGTGGGGGTGAATTAGAAAATAAGACGAAAGTTTTAAATTTATATGTTGATACTTTAAGCAAAGAAATTAGGTTAAACAACGCGAATAGTTTAATTAACTATTCACTAGATTTCACTTATGCACTCTTAAACACTCTAGCTGAGTATGTCGCAGAAACATTATGAGAATATGTCGTAGGAAACTGTATTAATATTTTTAAATATAAATGTTTAACTAAACATGTAAAAAGTTGTTTCGAAAATTAACTTTACAACAAAATAGCATTAGTCAATAGTTAACATGCAGAATAAAGGGGAAAGTTTGGCATAAGGAAACAGCGCCATTTTCTTAGAAGGTGTTTGTTTACTGGTGTGATTTTCATTAAAACATCTGTAGGTAACTATGATAAATCATCATCATCTTATCCCGTTCGTGCCCAAGACACCGGCATATGAAGGGATAGTGTGGTCGACACTATGCTCAGCCGCCTTTAATTTCCCTAATGACAGTCAGGTACCCATCAGAGCTGGGTGGACTCAGGGACATTCTGCTGACTTGAACCCGGTTTCGAACTCGAGACTTTTGAGTTAGCAGTCTAGCGCTCTACCGCTAGTTCACGCTGTCCCATAACTATGATAAGTGATACACTGTCCCATAACTATGATAAGTGATACACTGTCCCATAACTATGATAAGTGATACGGTTTAAATGTTACTTGTTCCACACGATCGTCATGTAGTACAAAAATAGCTGTAAAGTTGAAGTTTTTGGTTAAGTTTTACGATAAGACGAGATGTTGGAAGGTGGCAACTTGGGGTAACATACTTTTCCCGGAGAGTTTGAACTACAGATTCGCGCTTCGTTGCTTTTCTAGAGCGAGAGGTTTGAGGTTTACGAAGGTCACAACGACATAGTCAGTCCCTGGGCGTGGTAACGTCAGTCACGTAGACTTCTCTAAACCATGGGTGGGACTCTGAAATTATCACTTTACTATAATTATTTAAACGTTTTCTATAGATCCAGAATATTCCCTTCCCCCACCCCCGCCTTACAGTCACTAAAGGAGATGCCTATTAGTTTTCTCTCTACAAGATACTCCAGTCCACAATCACATACAGAACTGACGGCTACCTCCCACCACCGACCCACAATCACATATACAGAGCTGATTGTGTTCTCTCTACTAGACACCCCCACAATCACATATAGAGCTGACTAACTTTATACTTTATTTCCTCTCTCCCTCCCACCCCCGCCTCACAGTCATATACAGAGCTATTTGTGTCTAACAGATACCCCCACCCCCACAATCACATACAGAACTGACTGTTACCTCCCTCCCCCCCCCCCCCCCACCCCAACCCCACAATCTATCTCATAGCTGACTAACTATACTTCCTGTCTCCCTTTCCCTTCCCCCCCACAGTCATATACAGAGCTGACTATCTGTTTCCTCTCTACCAGATACCATGTGGCAGAAAAACCTATTTTGGGCGTGTCTCTTGCTGACCTGCGGACTCCAGGTGCTGACCGCAAACAACATCACCACTGTCATCACCAACAGCACAACAGCGGGACTCCCAACAAACAGCACATCGGCACTGCTGTCGAACGCGTCGCTCTCCTCCAACACAACAACCGTCGCCCCGCCATCCCTGAACACCACCACCAACAACAACACCAGCCGTACCGCGGCGGTACCGAAACCCTCGGCCGGCACCAACAAGACTGGCGCCGCTCCCTTAACCAGCAAGCTGGGAGACAACTGGAACGAAACCAAGCTCTCCGTGCGAGTGGAGACCAAGGACTTGGACTCGCTCGCCGTGATCTGGTCCCTAGGTTCCAACGATTCCCGCATCACCGGCTTCATCGTGTCGTACCTGACCCAGAACAAAGAACACTACGACTCGGATGTGCTGGACAGCACGGTGCGGGAGTTCGAGATCCAGTCCATCCGCAAAGATGAGAACTACGTCATCTGCGTTCACGTCATGGTCAACACAACCGACGTGAAGAAGGAATGCTCCGAGTGGAACCAGTCTTCTATGAAGATCGTCGTAGGAATCCTAGCCGGGGTGGTGTTTCTGCTGCCTTGTGTCGGGGTGTTGGTGTGGATCTTACGGAAAGATAGGTTGATGACGCGCTTCATGGCGCTGGAGTACGCCGAGCTGGACGAGGTGCTGGAAGTCAAGCCCAGGAGCGAGTCTCAGAGCAAGGAGAGCTGCGGCGCATGCGCGGACCACGCCGTGCCGTGTTGTAAAACGGCAACTAAACACGGGTTCGACAACCACTGGGAGAGTTTGGACACGATCGTCGAGACGAAGCAAGATTGCGTGGAGCATTCCAAGTCAACGAACATGGCTCTGTCGCCAAAGTTCCACATGATACCTCACCTCACCAACGCGGCGCTGCTGTCACCGAATTTCACCATCCCGCCTCAGGTCACCAGTCCAGCGTCACCCAAGCCTACAACGCCGCAGTTGGTCAGCGCCGAGCATCACTGCGTGGGGCAACACATCGTCACTCTGGACGTCGCGGGCCTCGCCAAGTCCAGCAGCTTCTGCCAGTCTCCGTCCTTGAACCATGACGTCAGCCTCGCCGGAAAAACATTCGCGTCCATTCAGGACATCCACACGCCCTCTAGCGGCGCAGTCGTGCCGCCGCAGTCGCCACGGGTCGTACCAGAGGCAGACGTCAGTCTAGCGGATGACGCGGCTTTTGAAAACGTTCGCTTGTAGCTGGTACTTACCAGTACCGCCGGATGTGTAGGTGCAGATTACTGACACCGTGTACTTTTAAAACGTATCCTATAGTTTTTAATACCACATAATGCTCAATTTACGCCATCTTGAAATGTTATGAACAAATAAAAACGGAAGTGATTTGTTGAAGTCACAAATGAACAAATAAAAAGCTTTAATTTCAGAATGTGTTATGTCTATAAATAGACTAAAGCGTTTCGTACGTTACACAATAGATAACATGTTAAAAAAAGACTTTGAAAGCAAAAGCTCGTTCAGTGGTTGTTTTTTTTTTTTTTACAATTTGTGTTCATAGCCACCATTTTTTAAATACGATAACATTACCATAAAATTATCGTAACATTAGATTAACATTAACCTAACATTATCCTAACATTACCCTAACATTGCCACGGCAGTACCACGGCAGTACCATAACATTACCCTAATATTGCCATAACAAACCACCAGCATTATTACGGATAGCTGACCAGACCCCTATATACAGCTAATCTCTGTCAGATGTATGCTGGCATTGTGTGTGTGTGTGTGTTTGATCTCCTTCTTGGGTTGGAAGGTACCAAGATTTTGGGGTTTATAAACAGAGACGCAGTTACCAAATGGTACATAAGCGATTCTGTTAGTTTGTTCAAATAGCGGAGCAGAAGAGAAAGTGTCCGATTTATAAAGTGAGACAAAGGGACTCCAATGTGACGTAATACATGTAAAGTGATCTTTTCGGGTCTGATGGGCAACAGAGTGGGTTATGTAGCACAAGTGATAATTCAAGGCTCGAATTCAGTGATAAACAACCCACTTTTCGGCTGAAATATTCACATCAAAGTAAAATTGCATTTCTACTTTTATTTATTTATCTTATTTTTATTCTATTACTTTTTTTTTGGGGGGGGGGGGGCTTATATTTTGAGTGGTTGAGCGCTAGACCGCCAGACGACCTACCCGAAAGTCTTTAGTTCGATTCCCACCAGCTCGATAAAAATGTCCTCGAGTTAGCTCAGCTCTTGTAGTTATCTGACTATAGTCGCGGCAAATAAAAAAAAAGGAGCTTCGTATAGAGCTAACCACACAATGCCACTGTATGCTAAGGTCACTGTATAAGGTCACTGTATGCTAAGGTCACTGACACAAGCGGTCTGTGATACGGCAGGTGCTATATTTTGTTAACTGTTAAAATCAAACAACTTAAAAACTAGTCTTGAATTATCTCCCTTGCTTCGTTATCTGTTTGATTACCACCATGCCCAATGCATCAACAGAAGCTTGGCGGTAGTTGGATAACTCTGCTTCGTCAGCTAAAAATAAAAAAATATTACACAAGAGTTCCCTGCCCTTGCGACCTATTTTTGTGTTCACATGCTAACGCCGCTTGCTGTGAAAAAAAAATTAACAGCTGTGCAAAAATCAGCAGGGGCAAGAGGGAGACCACTCGCAGTGACTGAAAGGTATTTTTTTTTCAACTTCGCTATATATGTGATAAGTTCTAGGTCAAGTAAATGTTGATACTCCTTACGGCTGATAAACTTTCTGATATTTAACAGTGGATACCTGCTGATTTAGGTAAGATATGCTATGTATTTTTTTTTACAATGCGTACGGGATATGGAGCATGCTAAAACAGGGTTACTAGTGATAGAATAAAACTAGACTGCTATGAGAGTAGGATCAGTATGTGTCAGCTAAAAGTATAGAAGGATAGACTAGAATCGTTTCTAACTAGACTACGAACAGTAATGTTCGTTTTACGGACCTAGAGCTTCATAGCGCAGGTGAAACATAGTTCAACTGTTTATTTACTTCAGCATGTGAAGGAGCAATGTGGTCAGAATTATGCCTAGTCGTATATACTTTCCCCAACGTGAGTCAGGTACCCATTAAAGCTGGATGAACTCAGGGAAGTTCCTCAGAAACTCGAGTCCTCGATCCGAACTTTTGGGTTAGCAGTCTAGTGCTCTATCATCCGACCACGCCGTCCCATCACTACTCCTACTATAAGTAACATGCACTAAATCTTGACCGCTAATATTAAGTAAAGATCCCTTGCGAACCTAAAGGTAAACGGGGCAGGTGAAGTAGAGTTACATCTGTTTATATGACCTCGGCATATGAATGGATAGTGCTGTTAGCACTTTGCCCAGCCACCTTTACTTTCCCCAATGAGAGTCAGGTACCACTTAGAGCTGGGTGGACTCAAGGGACGTTCTAAAATTAAGCCAGACTAAAACTATGCCCATAAGCATATAAAGCAGACTAACTTACACTGCTCATAGTAGGATAAGCTAAAATTAGCTTTTGAATAGTAGGCTAGACTAAAACAAGACAACTAATCGTGGGAAAGATTAAATGGTTTTAAATACTAAACTAGACAAAAACTACAATACTAAGTTGGTAGACCAATAAGACTGGAAAACTAGCAGATTAGATGATATTGACTTCTACAGGCTAGACTAGACCATCACACATCACACCATCACACACCACAGCACACCAGCACACACCACTACACACACCATGACACACCACACCAACACACATCACACCATCACAAACCGCACCATCATAAACCACACCATCACAAACCACACCATCACAAACCACACCATCACACACCACACCAAGACACATCACACCATCACAACCCACACCATCACAAACCACACCATCACAAACCACACCATCACAAACCACTCCATCACAAACCACACCATCACAAACCACACCATCACAAACCACTCCATCACAAACCACACCATCACAAACCACACCATCACAAACCACACCATCACAAACCACACCATCACAAACCACTCCATCACAAACCACACCATCACAAACCACACCATCACAAACCACACCATCACAAACCACACCATCACAAACCACACCCATCACACACCACACCCATCACACACCACAGTACCACACAATCACACACCAAACTAACTAGACTAGACTGGCACCAGTGGCACCACACACCACTCCAACACACACCACACCATCATATACCACACCATCATACACCACACCATACCCGATACGTCAACAGTACATCTTCACGTATCACCGAATCCACACGACATGCATGAATGATTGTGGTCAAAAGAAAAAAGCGAAAAAAAATGTACCCTCTGGAAATTCGTTTCTCTACACCACACAAGGTGAAGGTCAGTCAGGCATCTAGAACACAACGAATTCCTCCCTCCCCACCCGCCCCCACCCGCCCAAAAATTGTAAGCTAATAAAATATACACATCATTTCAAGGTATAGCTGAAGTATATTATGGAAGGAGGGGAGTTAACCTATCAATGTATACAAACAGGTAGAAGTTTAAAAAATACAACCAGAAAACACCCAAGATAGAAAAATTAATCATTACTTTAATTCATTATGGCTATTTTTTAATTAAACCGCCTTACAAAATGGGAGCGTTAATTAATAACCATCGTTTTAGTGGGACGGCGTGGTAGAGCGCTAGACTGCTAACCCAAAAGTCTCGTGTTCGGATCCCTGGTTCACCTCCCTGAGTCCACCCAGCACTATCCCCAGCGAGTGGACATAGCGCTGACCACACTATCCCCTTGAGGTCATTGAAACAGGTGAACTCTACTTCCTCTGCCCCGTGTATCTTATGCACGAACGGGAAAAGGTGATGAACCATTTATTTAACATCTGAAAACACCAAACTCCCGAACCCTGGTTAACGGTGAACTCTAGATAAAAGTTTAGAGCCCTTGGTTATGTGCACCGATACCTTATCACTATCAATTGTGAACTTTGAACCTAGAACCTACAGTCACCTCTGCCGGCCCCAGTCTGTTTACCATATCATGCGATCACTCTTTTGTCAACACAACGGAACTGGTTACTTCCCTTTATCTCCTAATTTCCAACCACAAATGACGTCACGCTTTTAGTTGACTTGTCAACATGACGAAATTTTATGTCATTTGTACAGGAAATGGTAGAGATAAAGTTCAGAAATTAAACTTAGGACTTGCTTCCACAAGTGTTTGATCAACCTTAATTATCTTTTATTTCAGTTAATGATTAATGTTATCTTTAGCTGTATATTTGGTTATAGTTATTATAGCTATGGTTGCGGTTATAGCTAAAGTTGGTATATCTTTAGCTGTAGATTGGTTATAGCTGCAGTTTTAGTTGTAATTTATAGCTGTAGTTGAGGTGAAAGCAGTAGTTGTGGTTATAGTTGCGAATCGTGATTTATAGCTATAGTTGTGGTTATAGCTAAAGTTGTTATTTATGTAGCTGTAGATTTGGTTATAGCTCCGGTTTTAGTAGTGATTTATAGCTGTTATTATAACCGAAGCTTTAGTATTGCTTATTTCTGCTAATTGTGATTTAGAGCTATAGTTGTGGCTATAGGTGAAGATGTTATTTATGTAGCTCTAGATGTGGTTATGGCTGCGGTTATAATTGCTATTATCGCTATAGCTGCTGTTATTGCTGGTGCGCTCGTTATAGCTGTACTTGCTGTTACTAGCTGCAGTTGTGTTTGTCTGGGCTAGAGTTAGGGTCGACATAACCTAGCTTTTTTTTTCTCCTAACCTCACGATTCCCAACTTCGTGATTTATTTTTTAACCAAAAAAAAAAGTAGCATTACATTTCAACGGGAGGAAATTTTTAAAATCTGAGTTATCTTCCTTTCGCAATGTTATCTTTCAATTATGCCGCCAATTATTAATTGTTCGGATCTGAAATCTACTGCGGTTAACTACTGCCTGCTTAACCTCATTAACCCTGTCAACACCTGCGAGAGACACACGGTAATTAATACAGTAATTACCACCTCATTTACATAAGGCTCTGCTACCTAGCTCTACACATAGAGGGAAATGTCTATTCAAGCTTGAGTACCAAAAACCGAAGGTCTAATCAAACTAGTACTTCTCATGACGGGAATCGCCTATATCGATCTTTTACCTTTAATAAGGTTCATGTTAGGGTTAAGGCTGGGATTTAGAGCATGGTTAGGATAGAGATCAAGAGGGCTATGGTTTAGAGGAGAGTTAGGATTAGGATCTGAAGGATGGTTAGCGCTAGGGTTGTTGTGGGATCAGAGGTTGGGTAAAAAGGATAGGGTTAGTTTAGGGGCTATAATAACGTTATCAGATTTTTACCAATTGAACGGATAGACACTAATAGACGTATCAGGTTAGTACACAGTAGTTGTATGACGGATTTAAACAGAAAACACTGTACTCTACACCGAAATCTATTGATGGGGAAACTAGATCCGACAGCGCTGATAAGAAAAAAATTCGCAGTTCTTACAATATATATTTTAAAATTATGATAAGTGTTTGCTTCCAATATGACAACAAACCACGTGACATTTAGTCAAATATAGGCCTAAACATACATAAAGTATATATATATATATATATATATATATATATATATATATATATATATATATATATATATATATCTTACATTATATACATATGCACTATTATATACATAAATACATATAATATCGATATCTGTGTGAATATCGGGGTGTTGGGTGGGGGGGGGGGGGTACGTCCATAGGCGTAGCAACCCATTTCGGCGGCCGGGCGAACTATCGGCTTTGCGCCCCCCCCCCCCTCAATTGTATAGTTATTCACATTGGCATTCGCTCCGCGAAGTTTAGAAAAGGTCGGAGGGTGCTATTTACCTGTCACTGTCCCTTAACGGTTTATCTATGTTGGTGTCACACAATCGATGTAGAAAACTGTTAACAAATTCCATCAAACCCATGCAACTGTCTATTTCCTTAACTGGGTACGTAACAATAGACGGGTTAAGTCGGTGATCACTTACAAAGGTCACAATGTAACCGTTTTAAAACTAGTACCATGTACCACGATTTTTATTACAGTTAACTCCCCTTACCCTTACACCTAATAAAAGGGTCGACAACCTTCAAAGAGCAGCAACGTACAATTTTATGTGCTTAAAAATAATGTTTTTGAGAGTTCAGCGGTAGAAAAAAAAATTGGACCCTGGGTTTTATGTTGTACAAACTGCAACACAGCAAATCTTACGTTGATAAGATAAAAATGTCCCACTCTTGGAATTATTTCTGGTGGTTTTATGTCTGCAGTCACGAAAGTAGAATATTTTATTTTTATTTTTTGGTATCACTACCCGCACTCTGGTGCTAATCTTAACCCCGACAGTAACCCTAATCCTGACCCTAACCGTTTTTACTGGCCGAAAAATGAAACTCCACAACATGCTGGTTTTCTCTGGTGATTATATGCTTACCAAAAGCCTACTCTAATCGAACCTTTGATTCCAACCATAATCCTGACTAACAGATCTTAATGGGACGGCGTGGTCAGATGGTAGAGCGTGCGACAACTAACGAGAATGTCTCGAATTCCAATTCTAGGTTTGAGTTTGTAATACGTCCCTGAGTGCACCCAGCTCTGGGTACCTACGTCACGTTAGAGAAGGTAAAAGGCGGCTGGACAAACTGTGCTGACCCCCCTATATGCCGAGGTCACATAAAATTGTCAACTCTACTTCATCTGCCCTATGAATCGCCAGGTTCGAAATGGGGAAACTTCTGAACACATCTTACCCTCAGAAACAGAAACCTCTTTACAATGCTATATGTCTCTGAGTCTGATCATAGCAGAGCCACAATCTTTGCACACCTTATGTTTATACGTACTACTCTTATGTTGATTTTTGTATCAGCTGACCAAGTGACACCTGATCATCTCCGGAGAGGGGAGGGGGAGGATGCGGACAATTTTTTTCCGAGGGGGGGGTGGTAAAAAAAAGCCCTAATGATCCATTGGGCAGATGGAGTTCATATGTTTCTTGACCTCAGCATATTCCGGGGGCTGGGGGGCGGACACTGACAAAAGTATATATTCTCTATTAAAAAAAAAAGTATTTGGCCATTAAAAGAATGACTGCTGGCCATCAGCTAGAGCAGAGAACACATCCTCGCCAAGCACTCAAGATCACACAGCACACATATTTAAGGCCGCTAATGTCGTCATTATCGCCAGACCACGTGACTTAAGTCAACTCCCGAGTTGTGTTGTTTTGTTGTCTTTTTTTTTCTTTCTGTTTGTCCGGCCGGCTAGCCAACAACTGGGCAGACCAAAGGTCGTCGGGGTCAAAGGTGTGGGGGTCAAACTCTCGGCAGAGCCACGAGTGAAGTTCGTTTAATATGAGGGGGCTAGGGAAGAGACGGTGGTAGCAAAGCCTGTGCAGTTTCGATCGTTTTATTTTAGAATTGGTTGCTTTCACATTCGAGCGAGGACCTTTCTAATTACGGGACGTTAATAGATCTAGATCTGCTAGCCAAAGCTAAGTCGTGTTATTTCTAATAAGTAGGGACTACGCCAGTCATTAATTACACATAGACGTGGGAAAACTCTGGTCGTGGAGGTAAGAAAAAGTATAGATTCTAGATCTAGTTGAGCAATCGTGTAGTGTTTTATATATATATATATATATATATATATATATATATATATATATATATATATATATATATATATAAATATATATATATATATATATATATATATATATATATATATATATATATATATATATATATATATATATATATATATATGTATATATGTTCATATAAATATGTAGAGGCAATAGCAATAGGCGGTAGATATTTGCGTCTGTAAGTAAAATATGCACGTATATAATGGCACCCCAGATTGTATGTATATAAATAATGCAGCAATAACATAGAGTCACCTGTCGCAAGTACCTGAACACTATAAAAACGTATATATCATTGCTGCTAAATGCTACCGTCTCTTCAAGTGCCATTCTCTTAAAGGCAGTATAAATTTGGAGACATTACTAGACCGTTATCTACCCATGTGAAAATGATAATGGCCCCCATACGACTAGGTTAAAACCATTTGGCTGTGGATCGGGACTACAGAAAGTTACTGTCTAGCTCTACTAACAATGGTACTACGTAGGTAATGGACTACTGGGTGGTGTTGCGATAGTTTCAACACTATACACACTAAGGGGCTGGTTGGTCTCTATGTCAAGCCTACAGTTCACTGACCTTGTAAACAGAGGTCGGGGGTGGGGCGTAGTTTTAAGTAGATGGGTTGTAATATTATGATAACACAGAACGCTGCTTACAATCAAGTGGGAATGTTGTTTGTTTGCATGTCTTTTGTCTTAATATCTGTTTATTTGCACATTTTTGTGTTTTAGTGGATTTTTGCATTCAGTTGTTAATAATCTATCGTCTTTATATGTTTGTTTCATATATTTTAACGACGGTCTATTTGCACGTTTTCATATTTTAGTGGATTTCACAATCAATCGTTAATACCTTCATACTTCATATGCTTGTTTCATATTTTTTCTTTATAATGAATATCATACTTTTGGTAACGTAGCACAACACATTTACTACAACACAGCATAACACTCCACGCGCGACATACACATTTACTCAACACACTCACACATACGTGCATGCACCTGTACACAGGAACCATAACTCACTGCAGTAGTGCAGATAGTTCAACTAAGGTCAAGGGCGACAACCATCTCAACAAGGCCCGTAACTAACAACGTTTTAGTGCTGAGAGGGGATGGTGATTAATCCTTAGCGTGCTACAGCCAAACCACAGACCACCTCTGGCGGGGGGTATCAACCTTGATTGCTACAAAGCAAAGATCTCTAATTTGTTGGGATGAGGAATGGAGGTTAGATTATCAATACTGATTCTTAGATAAGTGTGTGTGGGAAGGGTGGGGGCGATAGAGGTAGGATATAGTGGTGGTACTTTGATACAGGTGGAAGTATGTGTGTGTGGGGGGGGGTAGAGGTAGGATATAGTGGTGGTACTTTGATACAGGTGGAAGTGTGTGTGGGGGGGGAGTAGAGGTAGGATATAGTGGTGGTACTTTGATACAGGTGGAAGTGTGTGTGTGGGGGGGGGGGTTAGAGGTAGGATATAGTGATGGTACTTTGATACAGGTGGAAGTGTGTGTGGGGGGGGAGTAGAGGTAGGATATAGTGGTGGTACTTTGATACAGGTGGAAGTGTGTGTGGGGGGGGAGTAGAGGTAGGATATAGTGGTGGTACTTTGATACAGGTGGAAGTGTGTGTGTGGGGGGGGGGGGGGGTTAGAGGTAGGATATAGTGATGGTACTTTGATACAGGGGTGTATAGAGAAAACAACGCAATGGTGAACGTTACAGTTACAGCATGATCGAGCAATCACAAGCGCTTGATTAATGACGTCAGCTACCTGAAGTGTTTCAATCATTTATATCCGTCTATATTTATCTAAGGGGGTCGTCTATAAACAAGGTCACACCATTGGGGGGGGTGGGGGGGGTAAATTTTTACACTTAATTTTAGCAGTTATTTTGCTTTTCTTTAAAGACGTGTGTATTATGTATGTAAGCAGTTAGAAAAATTGACCATTACACCATATATTTTGTCTCAACTCAGTTGAAAAAATAAAACTTCAATTGGTATAAAAGGATGACGTCGCAGTTAGTGGGGGGGGGGGGGGGGGAGCGAGAGTTAAAAACCATAACGTCACTAAATATAAGTCACAAGAAAAAAACAATAATTGTAAGCAACCTCAGAACGTGCAGACAAATACTCTACTATGGACACGGTCTTCGGCAGTACACGAGGTGTGGTCGAGGGAGAAACACCATGAGAGATAGAGGACACAATTTTGGTCGAGCCATTGACACGTCTAATGTAAACGCTGCAACATTGTAACCATAACTTTCCTCCATTTTTTTTTTTTTTGTGAAGACATCCTACGACAAATCTCCAAATTGTATATCTTCCTGTTTATATTTCAGTTTGACCATGAGCAACAAGATGGAAGCATCCTATCTTCTGGACCGGCCTCGTTTGTGTACACTGCGCATGTGCGTGGTAATCTCGACGCTAATGCTGGCCAACGCGCTTAAAATTGACAGTGCTTCCAAGCCAGCTTTATCAGTGGGCGACAAAAATAGAAGCCACCGATTGACGCAAATGGACGGCCGATTCCAGGGCGATTTAGGGGACCGGATATTTAACAAGGATAGAATGGTTAAGCCTCGAGCTGGTAGAGTATTCGTGCACTCGGAAAATCCTTGGTCTAAAACTGTTCACCGAAGTCGGCGAGATGAAAAATCCCTTCCGGAAATCCTCGAGTCTACGCCGAAACAACCCGAGTCGGTGAATTCAAAAAGTGGTATCGGAGATAAAAACGACGACGGCTCCACCACGCTCAGCAACACCATACCACGTTACGTCAACAACCAAACATTCCCCGTGACAACGATTCGACCAACGCAGACGAACTCAGAACCGAACACTTTAGGGGGTCGGAGATCGGTTGAGAGTAATGAGATTTTAGACTCAGGGGTCGGGCAAGACCAGGTTGGTGAAACGCCTGGCGGGGAAACTAATCCCGCTGGGAGACAGGATGCGAAGGAGACAGCAAAAGTTGATACCCTGCCCGCTGCTGAAAAGACCGAGAATGTGCCTATAGAGGGAAGCGTTTCTCTGAATAACGAAAGGGAAAACTCAAACAAAACTACTGAAAGCGAACAACCAGTCACAACAACAAAGAAAAACTCAATGAATGAGGAGACTCCGATGCCTAAAGTCAATAATGATAAGCCAACGTCTGAAGACAAAGGTGACACGCTAATATCTAGGGTCACTGGTGACACACTGATATCCAAAATGAATGGTGACACATCCACGCCTGAAGATAATATTGATAACCAAATGGCGAACGATGAAGAATACAAAAACCCAAACCCAGAAAAATCTGACCCCCACACGCCCGACCGTGACAACCCAGCCGCGCCCCAGACTCTCCGCGCCCTTCCAAAAGAGAGGCTGCCCTTCTTCATCGATAAAGAAACCAAACCCGGCCACTCCGGGTCGCTGGGCAGCCCAGACTGGCTGGAACAGTGGAACGACACGACGCTGACTCTCGCCCTCTACAGCCAAGGGGACTCGGTCACTGCTTCCTGGGTGTTCGAGTCCAACAACACCCGCTTCACCGGCTTCGTCGTCACCTACCGCATCAACAACCGCGAGCACTACGACTCGTCCAAGCTCGGCAAGTACGTCCGGTCCTTCACGCTCCACTCCCTCCACGAGGACGAGGACTACGTCATCTGCGTCCACGCCATGGTCAACACGACCTCCGTCAAGGACGCCTGCGAGCACTGGAACGAAACCTCCGTTAAAATGGTCGTCGGCATCATGGCCGGCACCCTCTTCCTCATCCCTTGCATCATCGTCGTCATCTGGATCCTCCACAAGGACAAGCAAGTCCGGAAAAAATTGCACCAGGAGAAGAAGAAAATTCTCGTCGCCGAAGATGAAGAAAAAATCCTGTACCTCAAAAAGGGGAACGGCGGCGCTTCCCAGCATTGTAGGCACGACAAGAAACACAACTCTGATTGCAAATCTCACAAGAGAGGTAACTCTAAAACAAATCACGGGGACTTCTGCATGGACGAGTCCAGGAACCCGCTGAACGAGCAGGTGAATTACAGCGATAGCGAAACACTAGAAGATGCTCATCGCTGCACCAAGGGAAAAAATCCCCCGGTCGTGCTTCAAGTAAAGAACGTTAACCAACCTAATCAAAAAATTAACCAATCAGAACAACCGGATCTAAAAGTAGCTTCTCAGTCCAGTACAAACACCCAGGGGAGGCAACCACAGACACAGTCGATGGATTTCTTCTCCTTGAATGTACAGGACCTTGCTCATATATCTTCCACTGCAACAGAGCATTCCTTACCTATAAACAACACGACTGTCGGCCCTGACAACCCAGCCCAACAGTAACCCACCAGCTGCTGGGGTGATGGGAAAAATTTTCCATTACTGAACCAAGATAGAACAGACAGTGGCTGATGGTAACAAATGATATTGCTGTGGGCCACAATGGTAACAACTGATATGGCTATGGGCCACATTGGTAACAACTGATATTGCTGTGGGCCACAATGGTAACAACTGATATTGCTGTGGGCCACAATGGTAACAACTGATACTGCTGTGGGCCACAATGGTAACAACTGATATTGCTGTAGGCCACAATGGTAACAACTGATATTGCTGTGTGCCACAATGGTAACAACTGATATTGCTGTGGGCCACAATGGTAACAACTGATATTGCTGTGGGCCACAATGGTAAAAACTGATATCGCTGTGGGCCACAATAGTAATTGCTAATATGGCTATGGGCCACAACTGTAGCAACTGATATGACAGTAATAGCTGATATGGATGTGGGCCACAGTCATCAATGTCAAAAACTTATACAGCTGTGCTTACATCTGTAGCTGATATGGCTTTGAGCCACAATCATCAACTGTAGCAGCTGTGTGCATACCACCAAAAAAAATAAAACAGAAGCAGTCAAGATGGTTAACACCAAAAGAAAATGACAATTCCACACGCTAAAACTGTAAAACTGTCGCTAAAACTGTAAAACTGTCGGCCAGGCCTATGTACCCTTCACAATACAAAAACATTTCAGGCTTGAGTCATCCCCCACTTTAGAAATATGTTACAATTTCATGTTACTAGTTCATGTTACAAGTTCATGTTACTATTTCATGTTACAAGTTCATGTTACAAGATTCACATTCCCACATTGGTTCCAGTTCAAAACATTTGTTTATATGACCTTTCATTAAACTTGTCTTTTCAGTCTTGTGTTTAGTGGTTCATGAGTCGAATCTGGCGAGCAAAATTTTGACCACTTCTATTGCACCGATTTCTTTCAAATTTGGCACTTGGTTCAAGACCCACTGACAATGCAATTTGATTGCAAATTTGACTTAATTAAATGCTTAATTGATATTTAAAGAATTAATAAGCTTCCTATATAAAGTACTATTTTTTATGCTATTATAAGCACATTGTTGGTGTTCATTTAATGTGCAATTGTTTTTAGTCATCTAATTTTTAAAGTATTGAAACAACAATTAATAAAAAAACTTTTTTACCAACATTTTATATAATTACACACTAAAAAGTAGAAATAAAATGACCGTTTGTCGCTGTATTATCTAATGAATACCTTATTAAAATTGAAGAGACGACCCATGTTTTCTTGCATAGTTATATAAAAGCTTATTATTAAAATGTTTTTTATTAATTATTTTCATGCAATGTTTAATTTAATTTTACCTAATTAATTTTTTACTGTTCAAAATGTCTTTGAAAATACAAAAATTATTGGACTGACTTGACTTAAAATTAAATAATATCTACGATCGACTAACCATGACTTCTTATTTGTACTGTTATTTCCCTGACAGGCCCCCTTGCCAGCTGATTTGATACAAATAATTTACGTAACATCTTACTAATGGTATGGGGACATATAAATGATGTCTTGCTATTTTTAGATGTCTTGCTTCACCCCCCTTATCATTACAAAATACCACATCCCCCTCCCACCCCATACACATACATCAAACATCATATTTTTTTTTAAAAATAACTCCCTTATAATAATTATAACAATAACTTATGATGCTTTTATAAATTTCTGTAGAGGCCTACTTCCTTTCTTAATACTCATTCCTCACCAACACCTCATTACAAAATACACCCCCCCCCCCCCCCATCATTTATGGGTTACTTCTGTTTACTGTAATAAATTAACTTCAGTATGATGGATTTAAATGGATTTAAAAATTGATATAAAACTGTGAACACCATAACTTGTTAAAGTGTTAATAACAAAACAAGTTTAGAATCGCCATCAAGACAATCAATTATATGTATGTAAATAACATTAATGCAAAAAAACTACAAGAAATAAAGTAGGAATTATTACAAAATGTATTCATATAGTAAAAACATTTTGGCTGCAATGCATTTTCTTTAAGAAATCCTATTAAGAAGTGTACATGAATTGTATTTTATATTTTTGTGTTCAATGTTTTCGACAGAGACTTAACATGGAAACAAGACCATAGCATTTTATTTACAACTTGTATACAGTGACTCTCATTGTGCTTGTTATTTATTTAACTAGTTTGTGGTTTTTAAAAAATATTGTGCAATGACAGATTGAATGCTGTGCAATTGTCAACAGTGTGTTCGGCAATTAGTTAATTATTGAAAGATAAACATTGGCCAGCTGTCACAGCTAAGGTTGTAACATGCACACATGTGTTCAGTATTAATAGGGTTAAAAGGACTGTGTCGGAGGGTTAATGGGACTGTCTGAGGGTTAATGGGACTGTGTGGGGGTTAATGGGACTGCCTGGGGGTTAATGGGACTGTGTCTGTGGGTTAATGGGACTGTGTCTGAGGGTTAAAAGGACTGTGTCGGAGGGTTAATGGGACTGTCTGAGGTTAAATGGGGCTGTCTAGGGGTTAATAGGGCTGTATATGTGGGTTAATGGGGCTGTGTCTGAGGGTTAAAAGGCCAGTGTCTGAGGGATAATGGGATAGTCTGGGGGTTAATGGGACGGTGTCTGAGGGTTAATAGGACGGTGTCTGAGGGTTATTGGGACGGTGTCTGAGGGTTAATAGGACGGTGTCTGAGGGTTATTGGGACGGTGTCTGAGGGTTAATGGGACTGTGTCTGAGGGTTATTGGGACGGTGTCTGAGGGTTGATAGGACGGTGTCTGGGGGTTAATGGGACGGTGTCTGAGGGTTATTGGGACGGTGTCTGAGGGTTAATGGGACTGTGTCTGAGGGTTAAAAGGACAATGTCTGAGGGTAAATGGAACTCTAAGGGTAAATGGGACTGTGTCTGGGGGTTAATGGAACTCCGAGGGTTAATGGGACTGTGTCTGAGGTTTAATGGGACTGTGTCTGAGGGTTAATGGAATTCTGAGGGTTAATGGGACTGTGTCTGAGGGTTAATGGAACTGTGTCTGAGGGTTAATGGAACTCTGAGGGTTAATGGGACTGTGTCTGAGGGTTAATGGGGCTGTGTCTGAGGGTTAATGGAACTGTGTCTGAGGGTTAATGGAACTGTGTCTGTGGGTTAATGGGACTGTGTCTGAGGGTTAATGGAACTCTGAGGGTTAAGGGGACTGTGTCTGAGGGTTAATGGGACTGTGTCTGAGGGTTAATGGAACTGTGTCTGTGGGTTAATGGGACTGTGTCTGAGGGTTAATGGAACTCTGAGGGTTAAGGGGACTGTGTCTGAGGTTTAATGGGACTGTGTCTGAGGGTTAATGGAACTCTGAGGGTTAATGGGACTGTGTCTGAGGGTTAATGGGAGTGTCTGGAGATTAATAGGACTGCATCTGTGGGTTAATGGGACTTTTAAAGAGTTGACAATGAGAGGGTCAAAAGGACTATATTATCAGTAAAACAGTATTCTTACAGATATTGATGTTTTTGGCTTTGCTAATGATCAATGAATGCATGGTTTCAATTCAAACCAAACCCGTATGTCAATTAAAATGTTTTTTTTATATTTTGTTATTACTATCACAGTAATATTATTTTAAAATACTGCTGGTGACATTAATTAATGATTGTATTTGGTTTGGTCTTGATAAATTTAACTCAGAGACAAATAGAATGTCTGTGGATATTGTGATAATAAATGTACATCTCTTGAAATAATTTAAATTGTTTTATTATCTGTGCTGTTTGAGTTTTTAGTAAACACAGACATTTTTTTCAGTATAATTTATAGTTGTCACTAAAACAAAATTTTACCCTCTAAGAGGTATTCAGCTTATCAAAGTTTAAGTTTTGTACAGTTTTTTAAAATTAACCTTCAATAAAAGAAACATTCCTATTACAACATTGTATTTCTTTCCTTAATTATTTTTCCAGATATGTTTTATGGAACTTGGTTTATAGATAGTAATGATGTTTAGAATGTATAAAGGATAAAAAGTCAGACCATAAATTACTTGATTAATTAATGGTGAACTAATCTCTGGGACTGAGGAAATTAATGGTAAACGAATATCTGGGACTGAGGGAATGAATGGTTAAATAATCTCAGGGACTGAGGGAATGAATGGTAAACTAATCTCTGGGACTGAGGGAATTATTGGTAAACTATTATCTGGGACTGAGGGAATGAATGGTTAAATAATCTCAGGGACTGAGGGAATGAATGGTAAACTAAAGGATAAAAAGTCAGACCATAAATTACTTGATTAATTAATGGTGAACTAATCTCTGGGACTGAGGAAATTAATGGTAAACGAATATCTGGGACTGAGGGAATGAATGGTTAAATAATCTCAGGGACTGAGGGAATGAATGGTAAACTAATCTCTGGGACTGAGGGAATTATTGGTAAACTAATTTCTGGGACTGAATGGTCTAGCAGTAGAGAGCTGGACTGCTAACCAGTATGTCTCGAGTTTGAATCCGGGTTCAAGTCAGTAGTCTGTCCCTGAGTCCACCCAACTCTGATGAGTATGTAGCTCACGTTAGGGAAAGTAAAGGCGGCTGGGCATAGTGCTGACCACACTATCTCTTCATAGAGGTCACAGAAGCAAGTGAACTCTACTTCACCTGCCCCATAGACCATCTGGTTTGAAAGGGAAATTTACTTACTAATCTCTGGGACTGCGGGAATGAATGGTAAAATAATAAGATAAGATAAAAAAAAATTTAAAAAGATTGAAATGGATAAAAAAATCTATGCTTGATTTTGTGTTAAAAACTGGATTTATAATCTGATTACTGGAATTTAAAAAAAAACCATGGACTCACCAAACAGTCAGAGCTGCAGCCCATGCCAACAGACACAATCAACATCTTAGACAGGGCCGGGTCCAGTGGGAACTCTACCATGTTGCGACCCAGAGAAGTCAGGGCCCCAGTGTTGTCCAGTGCGCCCAGCACCCACAGCTGGTACATGGAGTTCAAGATGTTGTCCTGAAAATATAAAACAGCTGATATATGGAGTTCAAGATGTTGTCCTGAGAATATAAAACAGCTTTTACATGGAGTGCAAAATGTTGTCCTTTGAAAAACAACTAGTATATTGAGTGCAAAATGTTGTCCTTTGAAATATAAAACAACTAGAATATTGAGTGCAAAATGTTCTCCTAATTTGTTACAAAACACTTGGTCAAATGAGAAATATTCCAAACCATCTCTTGTCTGCAGGCACATATGTAAATGGTGATTTCTATAAGTATACTCTGGCAGATACTGGATAGTTATTGCACATTGCACAAGGCTGCCTACCATTAGTAACAACAGCATTGATTTCCCACAACAGCAGGATACTTTTCTAAACATTTTTTTAAACACAAATATTTTCCACTTATTTTTGTATAGGCCTACAAGGTAAATAAGTCTATTTTTACATTATATTATAACAAAACTGATCAGCATGACATTGATGATGATAACTGTGTACATTAGCCATGCTAAGCTTTATTTTTTTTTTTAAATAGATAAACTGCAATTTGAATCTAAGCTCAGAAATCGACCCAGGTTCAGATAAGTTAACTGACCTAGGGGGAGGGGGTTCCATTTAATGGACTTAGGCCCAAGTATCTCAACTGACCTCAGGAGGGGGGTCCATGAAATGGACAGGTTCAGGTATTACAACTGACCTCAGGAGGGGGGTCCATGAAATGGACAGGTTCAGGTATTACAACTGACCTCAGGAGGGGGGTCCATGAAATGGACAGGTTCAGGTATTACAACTGACCTCAGGAGGGGGGTCCATGAAATGGAACTGGAGCAGGTCCTGAACACCCAAGGACTTCAAGAGCAGCACCACATTGGCCAGGTTGGTCCTCTGTATTTCTGGCACTGTGGTGATCAGCAGCTCGTCCTTGTACTGCCTCTGTGTGTACAGTCTGTACGCTTGGCTGGAACACAGGAAACAAGATTCCAACAAGTCATAAACATGAGACGGACATTTGCCTGAAAGATATTTGCATGAATGTTACTTGCCGAAATGGACATTTGCAATAAATGGACATTTGACAGAACGTGACAAATGCATTAAGGCAAATTCCCATTCGGACATTTATTTTACTCGGGAAAATGTCCATTCAGGCAGTGTTGCAGACCCGTCATAAAAACATGATGGAACTATCCTATTTATTGATAGTTATAGGAAAACAATACAGTACAAAAAAAATGTTCATTAACAGTGAAGGGGAGGGGGAGCAGCTTATGATTGCTAAATACAAAAATCCTGCTTTAAAACACAGGCTATTGAAGCTCAACAGCTGGTGACAGCAACCCATCTAGGAGTCAAAACTCCTAATTCAAATGACTGCTGTCTTGTAGACCGATCTTGGGTGGATAATGGCTATGGAAGCTAATCCAGACAGTTAAGCTGATATCAGAGTCAACGGGTCATATAGTGCATAACACGTTGACACGTAATACTTAACAGTATTGAAGGAAATCCCCCTCCAATTTTAACAATTAAGAACAAAAAATAATTAAAGAGAATTTAGTGCACCAGCTATTAATACTCTTCTGTTAATTATTTCCCTCAGTTTAACTTGGTGTGTCCTACTACAACTGATGTAGTTATACACCACATAGATCTTGTTGTCTTGATACATATTTTTAAGAAATAGGTGGAAAATCCCAAATATTTGAGTATTCAAGAATACGAACATAGAGTTAGGTTAGAGTTAGGCTCTGGGTTAGTATCATGAGACATATTACTGATGGTGTTATGGAACACTCACCCTGGTCCAGTCCTACCAGCTCGACCTGACCTCTGGTTGGCATTAGCCTGCGAAACAGATACATAAAGTTGCATGTGCAAATCTAGTTTACAATAAATTATTCTTCTTCACGTATTCTATATCGTACCTCTATACAGAAAGATCTAGAACAGCCTTATAATATTTCTCCATGTGCAGTGACTTTGTCAGTTTTTGCACAGCAAGCATCTCTATAACAAGCTAATTATCATTAATGAAATTAAACTAATTAATTGAAGCCCACCTGACTGATGGGGAAGATCTGGAGGGCGTCCATGCCAATCTTTGGGTTGTAGACCTTCAGCTTGCAGTAGCCAGAGTCTATGACAAACATGATGCCGTCCACTGGAACAAATTTTCATGTACTCATTATCAAAATGATGGGGGACAGCATGGTGTAGAAATAGAGCAAACGACTACTAGCACCTGAGCCCAAACAATTCTGATGGGTAAATGACATGAGTTAGAGAAAGGTAGCTGGCAGCTGGGCGTGGAGCAAACTGCACAATCTCTTCTTAAGTCAAGGTTTAAGACTCCAGTACACTTTGCCAAATTCCTCCAGCAAGTTTAAAAGGACATTACACAGACAATAACCAACCTTGAAACATATTCTCTAATTTGTATATGAAAAAAGTAAAACCTTCTTGAACCCAATCAAATTCTAATTTAATTTTTACTTGTTGTCCACATAATGACATGTAGGATTTTTAAACTGTTAGGGGTGAGGTAAGGGGTGGATAGGACAAAACCTTAGCCAGCCAGCCCAATATATTACCACACAGGCACCAGGTTTAAACCCCTGAGACAAAAGTAGTTGAAAAATTAAATCGAATTGAAAATGTAGCAAAAACTGCAAGGCCTATTTTAAGGGAGTGTTTTAAACTCAAGATCGATTTAATGAAAACAGAATTTAAAAATGCTGGATAAAGTATTTTTAAATCAGGCATCTGATAAAATTTTTAATTAAAATAAATAAAATAAATTGACATATTAAATAATTTTCAATAAAAATAAGCTAAATTCAAAATTAGTTTCACTGTGTGCTTTACATTACCTGTTAGTGAGGTTTCCGCAATGTTGGTGGCCACAACACATTTCCTAACACCGTCCGGCGCCTTCTGGAAGATCTTGGCCTGCAGGTCACTGGGCAGCTGGGAGTAAATGGGCAAGATGGCCAGAGGTGGGGCTTCATCCAACTCACCCAGTCGCTCTAAAGATAGAACAAATGTACATGGTTGTAGAACTAAAGAGGGCATCCGTTCAAGGGAGATAATTACAAAAGAGACAGAATCTCATCATTTTCATTGGAGAGTGGGAAGCACGAGTAGATAAGTTACTAAGGGATAGCACTAATAAACAATGTGCAAAAGAGATAGTCCAATAGACAAACAGACATTAAGCTAAATATAGTTTTTTTTAATTTTACCTGATATAAGCTCACACGTGACCTCAATGTCCTCTTGACCAGGCATAAATATGAGCATGTCACCTATTGTATGGATTAAAAAATTAGGATTAAATACTTCTGAGTGGATAATAAACAATTAAATAAAGCACTGATCGCAATAAAGATGTTTCATTTTAAAATGGTAATTCCACTTAATTTTATTTAAAACTTAAAAACTAAACCAAATCTAGTATTTTTTAGCAATTTCTTCTCATGTTGAGGTCCATGAAGCAACAAATCACTACTGCATACACCCAAAGTATATTTTCTGGGTGTGTTGATTGTTGTTCACAACAAAGGATTTACTGAACATTTAAATAATATTTATAAACAGCAACATAATTGTTAAACTTACATTTTTTTTCACTTTTTATACCATAATAGTCCTATTTTTTAAACCCACAGAACACACAAAAAACACCCATAAAACAAAATCAACCTGGTCGACAGAACAAAAACCTGATAAAACTAAAACCGATCTGACCACCAACTAACCAAAAACTATTTAGCTGACCATCAAAAACCCACTTGTGTTGACCATCACAATCACAAAACCCATATGTGTGACCACCGAAATCCCACCATTATGACTACCAAAGTCCCACCCATATGACCCCCATATTCACACCCATTTGACCACCAAATTCACACCCATCTGACCACCAAAATCCCACCCATCTGACCCCCAAAATCCCACCCATCTGACCCCCAAAATCCCACCCATCTGACTACCAAATAACCCACCCATCTGACCACCAAAATCCCACCCATCTGACCACAAAACCCACCCATCTGACCACCAAAATCCCACCCATCTGACCCCCAAAATCCCACCCATCTGACTACCAAATAACTCACCCATCTGACCACCAAAATCCCACCCATCTGACCACTAAAATCCCACCCATCTGACTACCAAAATTCCACCCATCTGACCACCAAAGTCCCACCCATCTGACCCCAAAAATCCCACCTAACTGACCCCCAAAATCCCACCCATCTGACCACTGAAATCCCACCCATCTAACTATGAAAATCCCACCCATCTGACCACCAAAATCCCACTGTGACCACCAAAATCCCACCCATCTGACCACCAAAATCCCACCCATCTGACCACTAAAATCCCACCAATCTGACTACCAAATAACCCACCCATCTGACCACCAAAGTCCCACCCATCTGACCACCAAAGTCCCACCCATATGACCCCCAAATTCACACCCATCTGACCACCAAATTCACACCCATCTAACTACGAAAATCCCACCCATCTGACCACCAAAATCCCACCGTGACCACCAAAATCCCACCCATCTGACTACTAAATAACCCACATATCTGACCACCAAAATCCCACCCATCTGACCACCAAAATCCCACCCATCTGACCACCAAAATCCCACCCATCTGACCACCAAAATCCCACCCATCTGACCACCAAAATCCCACCCATCTGACCACCAAAATCCCACCCATCTGACTACCAAAATCCCACCCATCTGACCACAAAACCCACCCATCTGACCACCAAAATCCCACCCATCTGACCACCAAAATCCCACCCATCTGACCACCAAAATCCCACCCATCTGACCTCCAAAATCCCACCCATCTGACCACCAAAATCCCACCCATCTGACCACCAAAATCCCACCCATCTGACCACCAAAATCCCACCCATCTGACTACCAAAATCCCACCCATCTGACCACAAAACCCACCCATCTGACCACCAAAATCCCACCCATCTGACCACCAAAATCCCACCCATCTGACCACCAAAATCCCACCCATCTGACCACCAAAATCCCACCCATCTGACCACCAAAATCCCACCCATCTGACCACCAAAATCCCACCCATCTGACCACCAAAATCCCACCCATCTGACCACCAAAATCCCACCCATCTGACCACCAAAATCCCACCCATCTGACTACCAAAATCCCACCCATCTGACCACAAAACCCACCCATCTGACCACCAAAATCCCACCCATCTGACCACCAAAATCCCACCCATCTGACCACCAAAAACCCACCCATCTGACCACCAAAATCCCACCCATCTGACCACCAAAATATCACCCATCTGACCACCAAAATCCCACCCATCTGACCACCAAAATCCCACCCATCTGACCACCAAAATCCCACCCATCTGACCACCAAAATCCCACCCATCTGACCACCAAAATCCCACCCATCTGACCCCCAAAATCCCACCCATCTGACTACCAAATAACTCACCCATCTGACCACCAAAATCCCACCCATCTGACCACTAAAATCCCACCCATCTGACTACCAAAATTCCACCCATCTGACCACCAAAGTCCCACCCATCTGACCCCCAAAATCCCACCTAACTGACCCCCAAAATCCCACCCATCTGACCACTGAAATCCCACCCATCTAACTATGAAAATCCCACCCATCTGACCACCAAAATCCCACCCATCTGACCACCAAAAACCCACCCATCTGACCACCAAAATCCCACCCATCTGACCACCAAAATATCACCCATCTGACCACCAAAATCCCACCCATCTGACCACCAAAATCCCACCCATCTTACCACCAAAATCCCACGCATCTGACCACCAAAATCCCACCCATCTGACCACCAAAATCCCACCCATCTGACCCCCAAAATCCCACCCATCTGACCCCCAAAATCCCACCCATCTGACTACCAAATAACCCACCCATCTGACCACCAAAATCCCACCCATCTGACCCCCAAAATCCCTCCCATCTGACCCCCAAAATCCCACCCATCTGACTACCAAATAACCCACCCATCTGACTACCAAATAACCCACCCATCTGACCACCAAAATCCCACCCATCTGACCACTAAAATCCCACCCATCTGACTACCAAAATTCCACCCATCTGACCACCAAAGTCCCACCCATCTGACCCCCAAAATCCCACCTAACTGACCCCCAAAATCCCACCCATCTGACCACTGAAATCCCACCCATCTAACTATGAAAATCCCACCCATCTGACCACCAAAATCCCACCGTGACCACCAAAATCCCACCCATCTGACTACCAAATAACCCACCCATCTGACCACCAAAATCCCACCCATCTGACCACTAAAATCCCACCCAACTGACTACCAAATAACCCACCCATCTGACCACCAAAGTCCCACCCATCTGACCACCAAAGTCCCACCCATATGACCCCCAAATTCACACCCATCTGACCACCAAATTCACACCCATCTGACCATCAAAATCCCACCCATCTGACCCCCAAAATCCCACCTATCTGACCCCCAAAATCTCACCCATCTGACCACTGAAATCCCACCCATCTAATTACGAAAATCCCACCCATCTGACCACCAAAATCCCACCGTGACCACCAAAATCCCACCCATCTGACTACTAAATAACCCACATATCTGACCACCAAAATCCCACCCATCTGACCACCAAAATCCCACCCATCTGACCACCAAAATCCCACCCATCTGACCACCAAAATCCCACCCATCTGACCACCAAAATCCCACCCATCTGACCACCAAAATCCCACCCATCTGACCACCAAAATCCCACCCATCTGACCACCAAAATCCCACCCATCTGACCACCAAAATCCCACCCATCTGACCACCAAAATCCCACCCATCTGACTACCAAAATCCCACACATCTGACCACAAAACCCACCCATCTGACCACAAAAATCCCACCCATCTGACCACCAAAATCCCACCCATCTGACCACCAAAATGCCACCCATCTGACCACCAAAATCCTACCCATCTGACCACCAAAATCCCACCCATCTGACCACCAAAATCCCACCCATCTGACTACCAAAATCCCACCCATCTGACCACAAAACCCACCCATCTGACCACCAAAATCCCACCCATCTGACCACCAAAATCCCACCCATCTGACCACCAAAAACCCACCCATCTGACCACCAAAATTCCACCCATCTGACCACCAAAATCCCACCCATCTGACCACCAAAATCCCACCCATCTGACCACCAAAATCCCACCCATCTGACCACCAAAAACCCACCCATCTGACCACCAAAATCCCACCCATCTGACCACCAAAATCCCACCCATCTGACCACCAAAATCCCACCCATCTGACTACCAAAATCCCACCCATCTGACCACAAAACCCACCCATCTGACCACCAAAATCCCACCCATCTGACCACCAAAATCCCACCCATCTGACCACCAAAATCCCACCCATCTGACCACCAAAAATCCCACCCATCTGACTACCACAAAACTCACCTGGCTGACCACCAAGATGAACCTGTAAAGCCTGTTTGACAGCAGCATCAACATAATCCTCCTGAGGGTTCTTGGAATACAGGACATCAACAGGGAATGTCCGGCCAGGTATGGTGAACACAGGAACATTGCCAAAGAACATGGCGAACTTGGTGGCGTCCATGGTGGCAGACGTCACTATAAGTTTCAGGTCATGACGTCTGGCCACTACCTGGAACACGTTTTTGTAACGTAATAAAAAAACACATAAGAGCCTCATACACAACAATGAAGTTTTGTTAAAGAATTCACAACTCATCGTTATAATTCAAAAACTAAACAAAATTGTTGAATAGAACATTTTTTAACTTGGTATGGAAATGTTTTTATGGTATACATTTAAATCTTAGTAACATGTATTCGCTTCAATACTCATCTCTTTCATAATGTAAAGTACATATTCATAAGACTGGTATGGAAATGGTTTTTTTTTTTATACATTTATAATCTAAGAAATATTTAAATGTTTCAACACTCATCTCTTTCATAAATTTAATTATATATTTATACATAGCTCTCTTCTCTAAACAGAAATAAAACTTTTAGATTATTATTCAATCCATTAATACATTTTCATTAAAAATTCAGCTTCAACCGAAATTTGCTACTTACTGGCATTAGAAATAGAATAACATAGTTATGTTTTTCCAGAAATCCAAAAATCTCTCCTCAGTTTGTTCAAATTGTGACTTAACTAAAATATTTTTAATTTTACATTTGAAAAAACTCAGTATGAATTTACTATATAATAGACTTAACCATAAGAAATATTAAAGGTGTTTGAATATTAAGTATGTTGTAAGTTGCAAATAATGAGCTACAAGGAATAAAAGTAAAAGCAGACGTACATTTCGCAGTAGACCAAACAAGACATCTGTGTTGAGGGATCTCTCGTGAGCCTCGTCCATAATTATTGCACTGTAGTTGTCCAGGTCAGACTCCCTGAGTGACTCTCTCAGCAGGATACCATCTGTCATGTACTTGATCATAGTTTTCTGACAATTTTATTATTTTATACTATCAGTGATGTACTTGATCATAGTTTTCTGACAATTTTATTATTTTATACCATCTGTCATGTACTTGATCATAGTTTTCTGACAATTTTATTATTTTATACCATCTGTCATGTACTTGATCATAGTTTTCTGACAATTTTATTATTTTATACCATCAGTCATGTACTTGATCATAGTTTTCTAACAATTTTATTATTTTATACCATCAGTGATGTACTTGATCATAGTTTTCTGACAATTTTATACATAATTTTTATACCATCAGTCATGTACTTGATCATAGTTTTCTGACAATTTTATACATAATTTTTATACCATCAGTGATGTACTTGATCATAGTTTTCTGACAATTTTATACATAATTTTTATACCATCAGTCATGTACTTGATCATAGTTTTCTGACAATTTTATACATAATTTTTATACCATCAGTCATGTACTTGATCATAGTTTTCTGACAATTTTATACATAATTTTTATACCATCAGTCATGTACTTGATCATAGTTTTCTGACAATTTTATACATAATTTTTATACCATCAGTCATGTACTTGATCATAGTTTTCTGACAATTTTATACATAATTTTTATACCATCAGTCATGTACTTGATCATAGTTTTCTGACAATTTTATACATAATTTTTATACCATCAGTCATGTACTTGATCATAGTTTTCTGACAATTTTATACATAATTTTTATACCATCAGTCATGTACTTGATCATAGTTTTCTGACAATTTTATACATAATTTTTATACCATCAGTCATGTACTTGATCATAGTTTTCTGACAATTTTATACATAATTTTTATACCATCAGTCATGTACTTGATCATAGTTTTCTGACAATTTTATACATAATTTTTATACCATCAGTCATGTACTTGATCATAGTTTTCTGACAATTTTATACATAATTTTTATACCATCAGTCATGTACTTGATCATAGTTTTCTGACAATTTTATACATAATTTTTATACCATCAGTCATGTACTTGATCATAGTTTTCTGACAATTTTATACATAATTTTTATACCATCAGTCATGTACTTGATCATAGTTTTCTGACAATTTTATACATAATTTTTATACCATCAGTCATGTACTTGATCATAGTTTTCTGACAATTTTATACATAATTTTTATACCATCAGTCATGTACTTGATCATAGTTTTCTGACAATTTTATACATAATTTTTATACCATCAGTCATGTACTTGATCATAGTTTTCTGACAATTTTATACATAATTTTTATACCATCAGTCATGTACTTGATCATAGTTTTCTGACAATTTTATACATAATTTTTATACCATCAGTCATGTACTTGATCATAGTTTTCTGACAATTTTATACATAATTTTTATACCTTCAGTCATGTACTTGATCATAGTTTTCTGACAATTTTATACATAATTTTTATACCATCAGTCATGTACTTGATCATAGTTTTCTGACAATTTTATCATTGTATACCATCAGTCATGTACTTGATCATAGTTTTCTGACAATTTTATCATTGTATACCATCAGTCATGTACTTGATCATAGTTTTCTGACAATTTTATCAATTATTTTATACCATCAGTCATGTACTTGATCATAGTTCTCTGATAATGTTATACATTATTTTTATGCCTATTCGTATAAAATTCTCTGACAATTCAATAAATAATCCTTTTACCATTATTTATTAGCACATAAAAAAAAACAACTGAGTAATGGTTTGAAACTAACACATTGGGAATGCAATGAATTAGCTACATTGATAATGCTATTAGCTTTTAAGCCACTGGATCAAATAGTTATGATTAGTAAACTTTTTAAAACAAATATGTTTTACAATAACTATATAATAACATAGTGAATATATTTTTAAGGTATTATTTTTAAGATGGGGTTGAAGGGGAAAATGAAGGCTCATGTTGTTTTAGGGCATTTCTATCTAAGAAAATACACTATTAAAATATTTATGCTAATGGTTTAATAACTTTTTTGATTAGATAAAAAGATGAAACTTACTTCAGACGTGCAATCCTCAAAACGGATAGCGTATCCGACCTCCTCTCCTAGCTTGACATCCATCTCCTCAGCCACACGCTTAGCCACAGACATGGCAGCTACACGACGTGGTTGGGTGCAGCCTATCATTCCAAACTTGGTGTAACCATCTTCGTGGAGGTACTGGTGGGCAAAATAGAAAGAAAATGACTCCATGATAATATAGGTCATACGAAAACATCAACATTATAAAAGTCTAGCAATGCTATGTTTGCATTCGTTTACTTGGAGAAGCATTGAGGATTTAAGTAGACAAAGTGGAATGGATAATTATGATCAGAAGGGTACTAGTGGCACAATAATGATCCCCCTAGACTACAAGAATGAAGAAGAAGAAGCAATACTAATTATGCTTTTTTTTTAAATTGGAAAGATAAAAATTACCTGAGTCAACTGTGTAGTTTTCCCTGAGCCTGTTTCTCCAACAATGATAATCACACTGTTGTCTCGGATTATTGTAAGAAGCTGGGGAAAAAAATGTTTTTTTTTAAAGTATAAATAAATTATTTAAATAGAAACCAAGTGCTTAAATTTATAATATTTTACCTTATAACACATCTTAAAAATAAATCAAATTTTTTTTATCTGAATGATGTAGTAAATACAAAACAGCTTGTTAAACTAAACAAAAAGAATACCGCAGTTACATAAAACTATTTTGGTACCTGGTTGCGCACAGCAAAAATAGGCAGGTACTGTCTCTGCTCTCTGAATGATCTCTTCATGGCAAAGTCACTGACAGCCTCGTTCTTACTCTGCATGACATCAGCAAACTTGTGGTCATCCCTGTAACTGGTTTCTTCCCTTTTGTCCTGTAAAGCAACAAATTTGTTGGAACAATTATTTTTTTAATAGAAAACTTAAGGTCATCCCTGTAACTGGTTTCTTCCCTTTTGTCCTGTAAAGCAACAAATTTGTTAAAACAATTATTTTTTTTACATAAAACCTAAGGTCATCCCTGTAACTGGTTTCTTCCCTTTTGTCCTGTAAAGCAACAAATTTGTTAAAACAATTATTTTTTAAATAGAAAACTTAAGGTCATCCCTGTAACTGGTTTCTTCCCTTTTGTCCTGTAAAGCAACAAATTTGTTAAAACAATTATTTTTTAAATAGAAAACTTAAGGTCATCCCTGTAACTGGTTTCTTCCCTTTTGTCCTGTAAGGCAACAAATTTGTTTACAAAAAACAATTATTTTTTTAATAGAAAACTTAAGGTCATCCATGTAGCTGGTTTCTTCCCTTTTGTCCTGTAAACAACAAATTTGTTAAAACAATTATTTTTTAAATAGAAAACTTAAGGTCATCCCTGTAGCTGGTTTCTTCCCTTTTGTCCTGTAAACCAACAAATTTGTTAAAACAATTATTTTTTTAATAGAAAACTTAAGGTCATCCATGTAGCTGGTTGCTTCCCTTTTGTCCTGTAAAGCAACAAATTTGTTGGAACAATTATTTTTTTTATAGAAAACTTAAGGCTATCTCTAAAGCTGACTCTATCTCTATAGCTCATTTCTTCCCTTTTGTCCAGAGTTATTTTTGTTCAGAATGCAGTGGCTATATTTATAGCTGCTATCTTCTCTATTTGAGCAGAATAAAAAAAAATTAGTAGAAACAATTATTTTTTATACAGAGAAATTACTTTAAACACCAGCCAATAAGGATGAAATGACAGAGCCGATATAAAAAAAAAATAATTTTAAAGCAAAGAGAAATTACTTCTTCGTCATCTTTCTTTTTAATGCCCATGATGTTACCAATGTTGGTGCCAGCCAGCTCCCACTCTTTCTTCTGTGCTTTCTTTCTCTCCTTCTGTTCCCTGTGTATCCTGACCACTGGGCAGCCTTTCCTGGACACAACAGCCATGTCTGAGGTGGAATCCTAGAGAGATGTTTAAATAAAGGAGTATTTTTATTTTATTTTTTTTGGAACCAGTTTTAGATATTCCATTTTTTTTTTATGGTGTTATGTTAATGGAATTAATAGGCAATTTTCAAATAATCAACCACTAAGCGTTACACCATGTTCATCAGTTATTTACACCTAAGCATACAAAAATGGCATACATCATTTTCATAAGTTATATACAAGGGACACTACTCAAGAAATTACTTAGACATAATAAAATACCTGTATTTCTAAGTTGTGTCCCTTGTGCAAAAAAAAAAAAATATCCCACAAAACAGACTATTTTAAATAATATATCCAAACCAAGCCAAAACGGTGCAAAATAAAATAGGCAAAAGAATTAATGTCACAGATGTTTTTTCTTAAGCCTACTCACCCTAAGTGGGACAACTGGCTCTGGCTGTTTAGTAAAGACAATCCGACCATCTAAAAACGGAGGGACAATATTAAGAACTTGCAGGTGCACCCTCGCCTCATTCTCATCCTCAAAATCCTCATCAAAGTTCACCCTGTTGACGACACCACTGCGCAGCATTCTGTTCGTCTCCCAGAGTTCATTGTCCTGTTTAACACAAAAATTATTAGAATATCAATCAATGAAAGGTCAAATTCAAACAAGGAAAGTTTGATTTTGTAGGTCCATTGGTGAGATCTTGGTGTCTATGGTATTGAAGGATAGAGGAATTGTGTACCCCATATTTTTAGAACTGGATAATAGAGGTAGATATCAGAAGTGGATATAAGAAGTGGATATCAACTATACATAAGAAATGGATATTAGATGTAGATATCAGAAGTGGATAAGAGAAGTGGATATTAGAAGTAATCTTTTGGATATCTATGGATTTGAGGAGTGGATATCAGAGGTGGTTACCAGAAGTGGATATCAGGTGGATATTAGAACTAGATTTCAAGAGGGCATATTAGAAGTAGATATCAATAGATATTAAAAGTGGATATTAGAAGTCGATATCAATGGATATTAAAAGTGGATATAAGAAGTAGATATCAAAAGTATAAATGAGAAGTGAATATTAGAAGCAGATATTAGAACTAGATATAACAAATGGATATCAAAAGTGGATATTAGAAGAAGATATCAATAGATTTTAAAAGTGGATATAAGCAGTAGATATCAGATGTATAAATGAGAAGTGAATATTAGAAGCAGATATTAGAACTAGACATAAGAAATGGATATTTGAAGTAATATCAGAAGTTAATATTAGAAGCAGATATCACAAGTGGATATTAGAAGATGTGGATATCAAAGATGGATATCAGAAGTAGATATGACAAATGTATATTAAGAGTCCATCTTTAGCTGGCTAGTACTGGGTCTTTGAGCCTGATACAAAAAGAAACCATGTCCTATCTATTGCCCACTCCTCCTCACCTTATTAATCTGCCTCTGCTGTGCTGACATCCTCTTCTTCTTCTTCATCTCCATCTCCTCCTCCTTCTTCTTGGTGTAGGCCTGCGACGTGCCAGAGAAAGGGTTGTTCTCGTCGTCGTAGCCCTCGTCCATGTTGTACCACTCGCGGTCCAGACGCTTTTGTTCGCTCTCCCACTCCTGGCGGTCTTCCTCTGATTCAAACTCCAAAACGTTTTCTTTTCCTGAAAGACAACATGGCTTAATTATGTGGACTTTTTTAGTGATTCAAACTCCAACACGTTTTCTTTTCCTGGACATAATAAAACAACACCACTTAATTATGAGGACTTTTTCGTGGTTCAAACTCTTTTCCTCGACATAATAAAACAACACGACTTAATTATGAGGACTTTTTCGTGATTCAAACTCCAACATATTTTCTTTTCCTGGAAAGAAACAACACAACTTATTTGTGTGGACTTTTGTGTGGCTGTTATATGCTTTTACTTCACTTTTTTTATATGCTTGTATTAAGGTCACGCATATTGGTTTGATGCATGATAGCATAAATAAATTAAACTTAATTATGTAGACTTTTTGGTGGGCTGTTATATGCTTTTACTGTCCTTTTTTATGTGCTTGTATTAGGTCACACATATTGGTTTGATGCAAAATAGCAATAAATAAATTAAAATGTGTAGCTTATATCAACAAAAAATCAACACATTAACTTATTGTATGTAATTATGACAAGATAAATATAACAATTAATGGGCTGAAATATAAGGAACACACTGACTTTTGTTATGAAAGGATGTCAAAATAAACATAATGATGAAAGAAAATAAGGCATGAATGCAAGGAACTATTTCAAATTATACACAAAAGCCAAAAAAAAAAGTACAAGCAATGCCATTTATCTCAAAGAATTCACTAAACCAGCATTGTCTCCTATGATTTATGATTACATTAATATTAGTAACTAAAGAGATTGGAATCTATATAAAAGGTAAACAAGCCTAGACTTTTGTGTGTTACCTTTAGTCTTAATGCAACACAAAAAAAGAACATGAACTAAATGGATAACTTCATAAAAGATGGTTGAATTTATTTTGAGGCAAGCTTAAATTTGATATCAAAAAGATGTTTTAAGGTGAATGAATGGCTAAGCCAGTGATAGCTTCAATGTTAAATGAATATCCTGGATTCATGTACCTGGTCTTTCACCGTCCTTAGGGGTGTACTGAATTTTTCTGTCTTTCATCCATTCATTGTACTTGTAAGTGGGCGTGGCCTTAGGTGTAAACTCATCCCGTCTTGACCTGTCAATCAAAAGATCACAGGATAGGTAGAACACACATACACATAGAATATTGTCATCACTTAAAAGTAATGTTTAGGCCATATGCTATAACAAATCAAGAGTAAAACAACTCATTGTTTTTATATTCTCTATGTAATCCAGAATTGCTTAACATTTATTTGTTTAAAGCAGTTTAAAAATGTGCAATTTTAGGGACAGAGTGGTCAGGTGGTAGCGCTCATGACAGCTAACCTGAAAGTCTTGAGTTTGGATCCTGGATTAGAGTTTGTAGCTGAGCCCACCCAGTGGTTAGGAAAAACTAAACCAGCTGGGCTTAGTACTGACCACACAATTCCTTAATATGATGAGGTCAGTGAAACAGATAAGCTCTAGTTGATCAACCGCCTGTGACTTAGGTATGAAACAGTGTGGCCTAGAAGTACAGCGCTAGACTGGTAACATGAAAGTTTCTAGTTTGAATCAGGATTCAAGTCTGTAGAAAGTTTACCCAGTTCTGATGGGTACCTAACTCATGTTAGGGAAAGTAAAGGCCTCTTAGTATAGTGCTGACCACACTATCCCTTTATATGCCGAAGTCACAGAAACAGATTAACTCTACTTCACTTGCCGAGGTCACAGAAACAGATTAACTCTACTTCACTTGCCGAAGTAACAGAAACAGATTAACTCTACTTCACTTGCCCCATGGGTTATCAGGTTGCAAAAGGGAACTTTACTTTTTTACTTTATATGACTTTAGTGCTGACTGGGTTATAATAGTGTGTGCAGAGATACATACTTTGATGTGACTTAAGTACTGACTGGGTTATAATAGTGTGTGCAGAGATACATACTTTGATGTGACTTAAGTACTGACTGGGTTATAATAGTGTGTGCAGAGATACATACTTTGATGTGACTTAAGTACTGACTGGGTTATAATAGTGTGTGCAGAGATACATACTTTGATGTGACTTAAGTACTGACTGGGTTATGATAGTGTGTGCAGAGATACATACTTTGATGTGACTTAAGTACTGACTGGGTTATGATAATGTGTGCAGAGATACATACTTTGATGTGACTTAAGTACTGACTGGGTTATGATAGTGTGTGCAGAGATACATACTTTGATGTGACTTAAGTACTGACTGGGTTATGATAATGTGTGCAAAGAACATACTTTATATGACTTAAGTACTGACTAGGTTATGATAATGTGTGCAGAGATAAATACTTTGATGTGACTTAAGTACTGACTGGGTTATGATATTGTGTGCAAAGATACATACTTTGATGTGACTTAAGTACTGACTGGGTTATGATAGTGTGTGCAGAGATACATACTTTGATGTGACTTAAGTACTGACTGGGTTATGATAGTGTGTGCAAAGAACATACTTTGATGTGACTTAAGTACTGACTGGGTTATGAAAGTGTGTGCAAAGATACATACTTTGATCCTGTCTTGTCCCTTCTACTTCCTCTCTCAGAGTGCCGACCCTCGTCTCTTCTATCTGACCTCTTGTCTGCCTTACCGTGCTGGCTCTGACCCCGCAGAGGGGTGGGGAGATCCCAAACAGATTTATGGGGGGCGGGCGGGTCATCGTCATCCCAGGATGACCTTGATGGTGTATCTGTATTGAAAAAAATGTACTTTATAACAGAGTGATATATATTTGGCAACTAAGTTATCTTTCTCTTATATCAACCCACTTGAGCAACATCCTCTAGCCATACAAACAGCAAAAAGATGTACACATAGTTATATTTGTTCCTACTGGACTTTTACTTCTTCCCAGGGGGCATAGTCTCCACATGGTTTGAATGTTGGAGGGGAAGGGAGTTTGAAAAGTATGCCCAGTTGCTACTGTAAAACCACACCATCTGGTAATTAAACTAGCTTATCTTCTTCTTTTTTCTATTTTGTTGATTGTAATATTGAAGATTTCCTTCAACACAATTATATTTTGCACCATATAGTATGTTGATTTCAGGACTAGGGACTTCAGCCTTCTTTTCTTTCTGGATTTGCTTCCATAGCCTTTGTCCAGCCAAGAATGTTCTAAAAAGCAGCAATTATTTGATGTTGGCATTTTCTATTCTAGATGAGTCGCTGTCTGTTGAGCCTCTTCTGCATGGGATCAGAACTCCGGACTTTTGAAATTAGCAATTAAGTGTACATCAGCCTGACAACACCCTTAATTGTAATATTAAATGAGGGTGGTGGAGGGGGTTTCCCTCCAAGAATTTACTGAGCAATATATGGTCCATTGATTCCAACTTCAGCCTGCTTTTTTTACTGGATTTGCTACCATAGTTTTGTCGCCAAGTCATCAGTGATTTCTTCTTCTTCTTTGTTTTTAATTTTAAGGTTTTTTTTTATTTTGGAGTTTTCTCTCACAGATGGCTTCTGTCTCCAGCTGACAAGCTTCATCTACCCAGAGGCCCGAACTAGGGACTATCGAAGTTATCAAACACATGTTCATAAGCCATCCCCTTTAAACTAGGATATAACTTTTATCTTAAAATAGATAAAACTACTCCATCTCAAAGATAAACAGGAACTGCATACCTTTGACTTTTATGTTAGGTGTGGGCATGTCATCCCTGTCATAAGATCTCCTGGAGTCAGGTGTTTCCTCCCAATCCCTGCCACCCCTCTCCGACCTCTCTGACCTATCCGACCTCTCTGACCTATCACTACGGTACGACCTACGATCACTGTCTCCTTCTGTAAAAGAAAAAAATAAAAAAGCTTTAAATGTACATAGCAACTATGACCACAAACATGTTAACTATCATTGATCAAGCAATTATATTTAATTAACCTAATCCTATAAAGCATTTAATTTGTTTTAATTCAATAAAATTAATTTTTAAAATACTGTTCAATATTACCTCGATGTCTTCTTCTGTCTTTCTCTCTGTCTTTTCTTTTGTCTTTGCTCGAGGATGAGGCTGATATACCTCGTTCTTTGTCTCTGTGACGCTTTTCAACTTTGTCCCTGGCAGCCGAGCTAACACCGCCAGGGTGTGATGGAGTTTCTTCCCTTGCGTGCCGATAATGTCTGTAACACATAAATAAACCATGTATTGTGTGCGTTGTTGAAAAAAAGACACTGTTAAAATAGAAGAAACCAGCCAGTCAATAATACTAATAACTAACTTGGCTAGTCAATAATACTAACTATGTCTAACAGGTAAACAATTCACATTAGTGAAAACATATCCGTATATATAATCATAATTCATTATTAATTATAAAAACTTTATTACAGTTTATAGCTTTATTATTTTAAAAAATACCCCAATTTACCTATCTTTATCTTTATGTTTCTTCTTATGTTGTGTTCTATCATTTTCATCCTCTTCCACATCATCTTCTTCATCATTATTATACGATAAAACCTTAGACCTCTTTGGTGTTGTGCTACCTTCACTTTCCGACAGTCGTTTGGAAGCTGCGAGTTTATCCAATCCCAGCAGTGACACCTTAGGGGCCTCTGGTCTTTTAAAGGTATGCGCTGCGTCTCCATCTTTTGCCGGCCCTTTCTTCATGATAACCAAACCACCTGATTCATTACCACTTGAGCCCTCCAGTCTGTGAATATCTGAATCCAGGTCTAAGCTTGCCATTTTCTTTAAAAGTAAAATAGGTAAAAAAATCAAGAAATAATTATGTCATTTAAAATTTGGTGAGACAACTTAATTTCCTAATGATTATTTTCAGTTAGTGTACAATTGAGACATAGATTTATAGTAGAAGCCCTCTGCCCTCTAACAGACACTTGTTGGGGATGGTGTGGTCTAACGGTAGACAGTACTTGCTAAAAGTCATGAGTTTGGACCCTTGGCTCGAGGTCGTAGGCTGTCTCCTGACTGTACTGCCCTTCATATCCAAATCAGGGAGGGATGAAGCAAAGGCCTGTAGGAAACCCACTTATCTAGCTGCAGGTAACAAGGGTAAAAGAAATGCTGGAACCCTATTCTAGTCTGCCAGGCTGATAAGCAATAGCTTGAGCCAGAAGAGAAATGACCATATAATATAGAGAGATTAGTCTGCAGTAAATGAATCAGCCACTGATTTCTGAGCCCTGCACAGATCCACACTTTAGTGACTTTAGTCATTAGTCTTTACCCACTCTTTGCCCTTTTTTTACTTTTTAGACATTTTTAGTCTTTAGATATAGGGCCTAATCTAGTTATATAAATGACTATTAAATACTATTAAACAGACCTAGAGGCCTAGATCTAGACAATCTATTCTATCTAATCTTTAATCTAGAGTCTAGCCAATAGACTCAATAGTTCAATAGAGAGACAAAGAAAGTGCAAGAGAGAGAATAGTTCAATGACAATACTATAGGCAGGCGACGGTCCCAATCACTAGAATTTTTCAATTTTAGACTATATTTAGAATAATGGATCATTACACATTAGTGAAATGGAAACAAAAACAAAATCAATCATTTAATTCATTGAATCACTGAGTTCACTGAGATTCAGTCACAGAGTATCAGAGTAGTAGAGTAGGCCTACAGACAGAGTACAGACAGAGCAGAGTCACAGTCACAGTGATTCAATGAATCATTGAATTGAAGCCCACCCTATAAAGTTTTTCACGTACCTAGACTATGTTCTATGATGCGACAGTAAACCTATAATTTTATAAAATATAATTTAAAAAATAAGATATTGTCTTTCGTTAATATAAAAATAATCTCAAGCTTGAATTATTCCTAGCAGCACTGTAAACATGTTTCATTTTTACTTTCGTTTTTCAGAGGTATCAATGACTTCCGTGAGATCTTTAAAAAAAATTGTAAATACGGAAGTAGTGAAGCAGCTCAATTTCTTATTCAAAGTTTTATTAAGTTAACATCTTATTCAGTTTTATTCTAAATATAGAATTTGTGACTAATTTTTAAATCAAAGAAAATATTTTTTTAAATATTAAAATTATTCATAGATCTAAAATTTTATTTAAAAATGTAATGTTTTGTTATATATCGGAAACAACTTTTTTACTTTATAAATAATCCTCAGCAACAATAAACAACATGGCCGACTCACTGTTATTTCTAGCTCTGAAAGGACATTCAAAACAGCTGACGCTAAGTAACAAAAATCTTGTGACTATTCCAAAACTTATTGGAAAATTAGATTTTGTATGTCAATTGCAACTGAAGAATAATAAAATTAAAACTCTTCCATCTGAACTATGTAACCTTCATCAGGTATGTTGGGATGTGCGATGAAAAAGTTCCGAAAAAAAATAAATTCAGATCTAGAATCTAGATCTGAATTTATTTTTTCGTGTGCTCATAGATACTCTATAGTGTTTTTGTTTTTCCATCTGGTACATAAATAAATTAAAAGATTTTCCAATGCATGAGCTTTGTCACAAGCATCATGGCATTCATGGGACGCTTATTTGAGCCATTGACTGCTGAGACACTGGAGGACACTCCTGTTGCAGATTGACAATTAATCCAAGTAGTACCTCTGACTCCCTGTGTAGGAAAAACCATGAGAGGATCCAAGGTGCTAAGATAGCAGTGGGGAGATTTTTGGGCACCCAATAGTACACTACAGCGGGGGCACCAGAGGTTGCTTTGGATCAATTTAGTCATCAATTCTAGTAGTGTAGACATTTCTGAAAAGAATAGATCATGAGGCTTTATAAAAATTTAGCATTGTGTCTTACATGAACACAACACATGTTACTGAGTTAGCATTATAAGATGTATAAGTTATGAGTCAGTTGTTAAAATGTTTGTGTACAACCATATCAGAGGGGGTTGTCACCCATTGTGGATGGGTGTGGACATGGTAATGGGAGTTCTAAATTTGCATCTTTTTAGGACATCATTAATGGTAATCCCTTTTTTATTGTTTGATTTTTATTTGTTTGATTAATAATATTGATTTTTATTTTTATTTACCAACAGCTACAAAGTTTAAATTTGGGAAATAATAATTTAGAGGAGTTTCCTCCCATTCTTCAACATTTGCCAAGCCTTCAAAGATTGCATCTTTTTGGCAATAACATAACTATTATTGATGGTATTTCTTTAAGTAAGTATGTGTGTTATATTGATTCTAACGTATGAGGAGTCCATTTGCAAAACCTGCTAAGTCACTTCTGATTGACTTTGAGGAAATCAACATTTAAAAAAATGTTTGGTTATCTATTCTTAGGATTGTATTATTACCTAATTATTACCTAATTTATTTTAAGGTATACCTTTTAGAACAAAAACATGTGTACTACTTTAATTGCCACTTAATTAAAAAGGCTGTAAGAGTAACTTATTTTTTTCAAAAAAGTTTTTTCACAGGGCCTTCTGATATATACATTTATATTTTTATTAAAATAATATGCCATCCTTAAAGGATGCTCCCTTTTTAAGTTATACCATACACTTTTTCTTGGTTGGCCTATGTCTACATATTTAGAAAATAACCCTAGCGATTACCTTTAGTATGGTAGGTCCTACTACTAAACTGATTACTAATGTAGTGTTATATTATCAGTTTTCTTTTCTGTATTTTCTTATTTTGTAAATGGCTTATTCAATTTCTGCAGATGGTTTCAAGCAACTGACATTCTTAAATCTTAATGGAAACAAATTAAAACATTTACCTAAGGAAATTTGCAAGTAAACCTTTTTTTTTTGTTCCTTCATAGTAAAATTATGTAGTTTGTTATTAGATAATCAATTTTTTTAAACTAAAATTTAAACTACAATATTACAATTTAAAAGAAAGTTATACAAAACAATTCTTTGTATTTAAGTAGATAGACAAAACTACTCTTTTCAATAAAATGTGGGTTTGATCCTATATTTGGTATTTAAATTTAAATTAGCCATTCAATAATGCAATACAATATTGCACTGAGGATGTACCACTTTTGTAGTTAGGGTTGAAAGTAAAAAAAAATGCTGCTCTGCTCTGGGCACATAAGAGCACCAGAAATAACAATTCTCCCAATTTTCCAGCCTAAGTAGAATTCAGCACCTCTCTATTGACAACAACCAGCTGACTGAGATACCCGTAGAGTTCTGTGCCTTGATCACACTGCAAGAGTTTCACGCGGCTGGAAACTGTTTGGTATCTCTGCCCCTTGAGATGGGTTACCTGGTGAACTTGGAGAAACTTTATTTACAGAAAAATAAAATCAGGGAATTGCCGGAGGTGAGCCTTGTTTATATTTTTTGCATGTATATTAATGTAAACAACATTTAGTTGTATAATACTAATAGTACAACAATGGGTTATATAATGCTAATAGTACAACAATTAGTTGCATAATACTAATATAAACATATAATACGTTTTTAATTCTGTATGGATTTTGCTTGAATACTTAGAAGATTTTAAACTTTGTTAACAAGATCAACCATAAAAATGGCAAACAATTTTTGTTTGTAGAAACCGCAACTTAAACCTTCTCTTCATTATAAAATATCAAATGCCTCCCTTTCCCATCCCACTTAGTAAAAATAACAAGTTTTCATTACATTTTGAATAAACAAATGCAAAATATAATCTGTCTCATTTGTTATACTCCCCCCCCCCCCTGAACCACACTCCTTCCTAGGTGATTGTTGAAATCATTTAAAGACAACCCTATCTGTATTCATTTGTATTCTCATTAGAAATTGTTAACTTTAATTGCTTTGCCTTTTGCAGAGCTTAGGAAAGTGCTACAAACTCAGGTACCTAGATGTTGCTGCAAATGAGTTACGAATATTTCCAACAGAAGTAAGTTTTATATATATGATATATATATATATATATATATATATATATATATATATATATATATATATATATATATATATATATATATATATATATATATATATATATATATATATATATATATATATATATATATATATATATTCTCTTTATCAGCAAAACAATAACTAAGTAATACAGTGAATAATTTGATTATGTACATTTGTTTCCAAAACATATCCTTGCAGATCATAGATTTTAAAAGTAATCAGTTTTTCTTGCTTTGGTATTATCAATTATGTTTCAATAGCCTTTCATATTTTATTTTCAAGACATAATTTGTTGAGTAAGATAAGAAGCTGTAGATTTAAATAATGCTAGTCCTTTCATAAAATGTCCAAGATCAAATATGTCTAAAAGAGGAATCAGAATATGTTTAGATAACCAAGTTAAACATTGACTAGTGATTTCTTCTTTATCATCTAATTCTTAATTGTAACGTAATTAAATATTAATCCTGTGACAACATGTTATGCACCTTATGGACCATAGACTTTGACATCAACCTGCTTCTTTTTTCTGAACATTCTTTCATAGCCTTAGTTCATCCCAAGTCTTGAGTTAGTGCAAGTGGCTTTAATGAAGTAGTTTTTTGGTCTTGTTGAACACAAATCTAACAGAATAATGTACTGAATATATTTAACAGCTTTCTAGTCTGCCACTGAAAGAGCTGTACTGTGAGGAAAATCCCTTGTTGAATAATATACCTGTACATTCAGTACAAGAAGAGGAAGTTCTGTCCCTTAAGGTTGTTATACATTTAATTATCTCATTGAAAAATGAGAACTATTCATACATGTAATAATTTTTAAAGAACTTAGGCATATAAGAATTACTTATGATCATTTTTTTGTATTGGACGACATGGTCAAATAGTTGAAAGTCTTGAGTTCGAATTCGGGTTCAAGGATATAGAATGTCCCTGAGTCCACCCTGCTCTGATAGGTTACTGAATCACATCAGGGAAAGTCAAGCCAGCTGGGCATTGTGCTAACCTCACTAACCCTTTATATCCTGAGATCACAGAAACAGGTGAACTCTACTTCACTTGCCCCATAAACCTTCATGTTCAAAAAGGAAATTTCCTTTTTTTTTTAGATTTTTACATCTTATTATCTCATCAATAAATATGAGACCTCTTCATGCATGTAATTTTATAGAACTCCGACATATAAGTATTTTATTTATTTTGTTTTTCTAAATTTATGTAGGAACTTTGTGCCAGATTTGTTATGCAAGAGCTAAAAGACAGGTATGTGGTTCTTAAAATGCTAGTTCTTTAAGTATTATCAATATCTCTCTCTATGGTTTTTATGTGTGCTGTCTTGACTATACTTTAAATAATTATTTACTGGTATAACTATGCCAACTCTTGGTCGACTCTAACTCTACTTCACCTGCTCTCTTGTCTGCCAAGCCTGAAAGGGTAACTTATTTATACATAGTTATCAAATTCTAATGCTCTCTTAACTAAATTATATCTTTTAAAATAAAAAAAGTAAATTTCCTTTTTTAGACCTACTGATTTCATGTTTCTTAACCTGAGCTTATAAAGAAATGGTGTGATCAGCGATAATTTTTTTTTAACAAACTCATCTTTAAAAAAACTATTTTACAGATGGTCATCCATGCGTAAAGCTCTCCGCTTCTACCCAGACATACGTAACATGCTGGCCCAGTCCAGTAAATGTGCGCTGTGTGGCGCCCCCTTTCTCAACACCTGGCTGGAGTGTGTCAAGTTTGTTGATGCCAAGAAGGTAATACATTAGTTTCAATTGTTTTTTTTTTTTTACCATTCTGTAACATCAGCAGTTAGATCAGACTATTGAGACAGATGAGCTTACCTAGTAGTGAAAATTCTGGAGTGTAGCGTTAATGTAATGTACCCATAACCTAGTATAGCCCAGTAACAGGACATACCCCCTCCCCCTGCTAATTACCTCCCTCCCCCTCTTGACATTACCCCCAGAGCAATTACCCTCCTGCCTTGTCCAGTTAGGCATATGGTCAGGGCTAGTGTTACAGTCAGGGTTAGGGTTATATTTAGGTTTAGAGTTTGTAGGATTGATTTGGGGATTAGGGTTAGCTGTAGGTTTGTGGTTAGGGTTCTTTAGGATGAGGGAGGTAATTGATAGGGGGTTATTCCAATGTGGGGGGGGGGGGGGGGATGGGAATTGTCCAGGTAAGGGTGGTGGTAATTGACGAGGGGGGGTAATATCAGGGGGTGGGGTGGGAGGTGTCCGGGTGAAAGTGGGGGGGGGGTATGTCCTAGACCTGTATAGTCTACCTGTATGTCACCTTAACATCACCACCTGGTACAGCCCACCTGTATACCACAATGTGGTAAACCCCATCTACAAGTTTATCTGTTGTAAGTAATTCACATTAGATAAGTTTTAAATTCATTTGATGAAATAATTGGATGAAATAATCTGTTCATCGTCTGAACCTTAACTTCAGATGTTTTAAATTCATTTGATGAAATAATTTGATGAAATAATGTGATGAAATAATTTGATGAAATAATTTCATGAAATAATTTCATGAAATAATGTGATGAAATAATTTGATGAAATAATGTGATGAAATAATTGGGTGAAATAATTCGATGAAATAATCTGTATATCACCAGGACCTGAAGCTGGTCTCTATGTCTGGTCCAATCCCAGTCCGAGCTCTCCTCTGCTCATACAAATGTTTCAACTCCACTGGACACAGCTACTATGGTGTTGCCTTCCCCTAGCATCCACATTGGACATGGGTTTTTTTTTTACACTCTATGCAGAAATGTGTACATAAAATGATATTTTTTCAAGTGATTCAAAATCGAAGATAAGAGAAAAAAAAATTTTCAAATCTAAACCTAAAAAGTACAGGGCACCATCAGTAAATTTTAAAAAATCCTACTGGAGCCTTGTAATCTAAGGGAACAAATGTCTGTGATAAATGTTACTTTCAGTTTGTTACATGCTAGACTATGTACAGTTATGAAAATATTTTTTAAGTATTATTTCTGGACTTGTGTGATTTAATGTAAATATACTCGTTTTCTTTTTTAAATAACCAGTATTATTTTATGTTTATATCAAGGTGAATGTCAACTGTTATAAAATAATTTCCTGTTAGAAAAAAAAAATTGTACTCTAGTTCTGTAAGGGTTAAGGTTTGTTATTGGTTTTTAAGGTGGAATAAACCTAATTTTTTATTTTTTCAAGCCCAGGTTATCTGTGTATTGTAAATATGAACAGGTTTTATCTCAACTTTATTTATTGTGTGGAGGGTAGGGAAAGTCTATTTTAAGTGGCTGTTGTATTGCTGCCACCATAAAACATAACAACCAATAAAACTGGATGATTTAATTGTCTGAAAAAATTGTTTAAAAAAAGGGAAGTTCCGTGCAATATTTAAATAGTTGGGAGTTGTAAACTAGAAAGATTACTTAGTGTTCACCTCTCCAACACAAGAAGTTGAGTTAAAATAACATTAGGCAATGTTGTAAAATCCAGGTGGAACAAATTCCTTAATTATTTATTGCTTTAAGTTGCACACCTGATATTATTGAGTTATCAATAGAACTACAGCTGTTTCAGAAATTTTACTAAAAGGTTTAATCAAGTTATGTAATTATTGATTGAAAAGTGTATTTACCATGTTGTATATTTTAATTTCATTGATATATTTATTTCTCCAAACAACTTTAAAAAACTACTGCTAGCTCATGCATTTTTATTTATAGCTGAAGTTGTAACTGATTTTTTCAAGAGGGAGTACCGTATCACATATACAGCTATAAATGAAAAAAATTGAATAAGCTACTTAGATGCAACTAAATTTTTCATGCTTAACAAGCTTGAAAAATCTATGTAATCATACAAATTATTTTTTTAAATCGTAAAAAAAAAATGGCAAGCAATAAAATTATAGCTACATTTTCAAAAATTAAAGCAGGTTGGGAACCATCGATTACACTCATTTTCAAATTTTTGTATTGAATATAAGACATTGAAAATAATTTTAGAATTATTTAATCAATTCAGATATTTTTAAAAACCGCCCTCAACCTCTCATGAAGTCAACCAGAGTGGCCAGGGAAAGTAAAACAATAAAAGTCAGAACAATTGTTTTCCATGATAAAATACACAACAGGGGTCAATGGGGTATAGCCTAGTAATTCATTTGAATTATATAAAATGTAAGTCCCCTATCACCACCACACCCTGACTCTACTAATACATATTTTTAAAATATGGCCTTAATAAATTAGAAGTCATTTTGTACTTATTTCTCAAATGTTATGAAATATTCAATTTTGGTTGAAAAATAAGCTTTCTGGCAACAGCTATTTGGAAACATTTTTGTAAGCCTGTTGTGTAGTTGTTTTATACAGTAAAAATTAGAGTTAAAATAACTGTTGTTTTGTATTGTAAGGTATTTAGCCTGCCATGTTTTTACTATTGTAACATTTTATTCCTTGAACTTGAAAGCATTTTTAAGTGTATAAAAATGTAAATAATAAAACATTCCATTCTTACAGCTGTACCCTGGGTTCTAAAATGGTCATTATTTGTGAATAATATTGTAATAAACATTTTATTTTCAAACTTACCATTGCTGCAAATCACTTGTATTGTAAACAAATTATTTTGCATTAAAATGCTTGATGCATATTTAAATAGCAAACAGTGAATATGGTTCATACACACTGAGAATATAGATCTATGCGTAACACACAGGGCAATGAAAAGAAATAGAAAGGACCTATTTTTCAAAGTTTATTTAGTCTTGCCAAAAACTGTTTACATTTCAAGGATATCATGTTCTGGTGGTAATAACTCAAAAAAAATGTCACAATGTATTCACTTTCACCCTTTCCAACACACACTCGATCTGGCTCTGATATCCCAGTCATCGATAATTACATTTCTTCATAACTTTCACAAAACAATATTTGTCATTTTACACAGATGCGCCAAATAAAAATAACAATTGTTTATGTCAATTACTTTTTCCTCAAACCAATCAATTTTTCACAGACATAACTTATCCATTACAAACCCACTACCAAATTCAATCGCCACAGGAGAAAGAAAAAAAATCAGTTGTGTACTAATACACCGCAGTCTTAAACGAATGCCACATTCATATGCTGCAGGCAAAGCTAGAGGTTTCCATACACTAACAAGCTCAGATCTTCACTGTGTGATAAATAATATTTACATATTCAACATAACGCAGTAATCACCAGTCTGTTTTCTCAGTGCAACAAGTCATAATACATTTTTCTGGTAAAATTCTACACAAACTATCAGAAAAATGAAAACCAGTTCATTCACTCCTGCTTATAATTTACACAAAACAACTTATCCAAATAAAAATGTCTCAACATAAAATCTTGAATTTATTCCATAAACAAATCTTCCTTCAATCCATGCAATTTTGGTTTCCAAATTCACATAGAAACTCAGGAAGGGTTCTGAAGATGCCTCAGTATGTAAAAGTTATTGGTTTATGTAGAAAATCAAGATATTATGTTGAGATTATTGTCTTATGGTTAAAATAAATAACAGACTTTAAAATATGTAATGTCAATATGAGTAACCAGGATCAAGTCTGGTGGTTGCTTCACAAGGGTTTACACCACTGATTGAGGAGCAGGTTTATTTAGTACAGTCAGTCAAACTATCTGCAAATATAATTTATCATTATTTGAAAGCTGATGGTTTCAAGATGGATTGATTTTTCAAAAAATTACGAGTGTTCCAAAAAAATTTTACTTTGATTCTTGTCGATTATTTTTATTTAAAATAAAGTTTAAATAAACAAAATCCAATATTAATTTTATATGGGAATATTGCTCAAAAACTTCCTGCAAATTAATATTTCAATAAATGAATCGCCTGCATTTTTCAATTATTTTAGAAGGCAAACATGGAAATTATTATTAACTGATTAAAATAATCACCAAAAGGCTTGAGATGGGGAAAAAAATATGTACCCCTGTATTCCTTGGGTAAAGACAACCACTGAAAGTTACAATTTGTAAAAATTTTGTTTGTCAACACATTACATCTGTATAGGTAAAAAAAAATCAGCATAACCTTTGAATTTAGTAATGTTGAGAATGTACATTTTCATACAGTGCAGTAGTTCTGCTGTACGTAAAGGAAATAATGGAAAAAAATGTACTTAATAAATTACTTTTTAGTTAATAAATAAGAAAGTGATCTTAGAAAAATTTAATTTATTTGTTCAATAATAGATGGGAAGATTTCCCTCCAACACATGATTGTGTTGTGTGATTGTAACAGTTTCAAAACAGTTTAAAACAAATACATGCAAAAGAAACATTACTGCAGGCTTAGCTTTACACATGTGTAGCATTTTCAAAAAATGTTCATCATTGCATACAGAACATTTGTTTAGCCAGCTGGTTAGTTTTTCACATCACTGATGTTAACTACAGTTAACCAACCCCTCTTCATAACCATAGGTGGGCACAGACCACAACTGGAATTTTGTTGTCAAGGAAAATACCATTCACATTATATTTCTTTTCACAATGAATGACTAGCAAATTTAATCCAAGAGGAATACTTCAAATATTTTGTGAAAGGTCAATCAGAAAGTTGAATGAAAACAAGTGCAGAAAATATGAAGCTGGAAGACAAACTGTGCTATTGGATTAGTGCATGAGATTAAACAGTTGATTTCACAAGAAAAATGGAGAGTTAATTATTTGAAGAAAACTTGGATAAAACTAAGCACAAAGCAGTGAGTTAAATGGATATATTTAAGATGCATACTAATCTAGCAGCAGCATTGATATATATATAGCATTTTCTTAAACTCAAACTGGTCAATTATTTTACAATACCATTTGAATGTAATCACAAGGATATAAATATTTAAGATGGAGTTTAAACGTTACATATTTTTTACCTTCTGCTTGAAAAGTCCTGGAAAAGTTACTAGTTACTTTGATATTATTCATAGAACTATCGATGTTCTGTAGTTAAAATGGAAATTAAATGCCCTAGGTAAATGCTGTTTTAAATACTACTTTCAAAATAAGAGTAATAATGGTATAAATAGCTAACCACTTATGGTTAGTGGTTAACCACATTTGAAATTAAGGGCTTTGCTTAAATATTTATCATTTTATGTCGATATCTAACTTATAATTATAATCTACAAAAAACATTTTTACCAAGACCAGCTCTGCGTCGTAATGTAATCTTTAAGATTGCCTACCAATGAAATAACACAATCATGAGTGTGAATAAAATGCCAAGTGCTATTGTGCAATTGAGTGGTAAAATGCAGGGTGGGGCTGATGTGGGATCAGATTAGTTATGTGACACGGTGACAAGACTTCACCCTAAAACACTCAGGTTAGTCAGATCTAACACAACAAGGAAATAACTGATGACTTCAAGGCATTGCATGCAGTTTTTGGTTGTTTCCAAATCACTAATATTTACTAAATTAAATGCTGTCCATGATGTTAATAGAAACTTAACCATGAAAGTACCAAATGTTATTCAAGTTTCTAAAAAGCATTAGTCCTCAGCAGTTAAATGTTAATCTAGATTGAATGACTTTTTTGCTGGAACAAGTCCAAAATAAATAAATATTTAATAGTGAATTACATTTTAAAAAACAATGTTTGATTTGAGCTAATTTTATGTGAAAATGCATATAAATAGTAATTAAATAATGACAAGTTGTGCATAAAGACAAAGATGTGTACATAATCTGTAGATACAAAGCAACCAAAAGAAAAATTAGATACATTGCTTTAAAAAAAAATTTTGCATTACGTGTTGCTGTAACCATGAATACATGTATAAAGTTGAAATGCAGAAGTGTTAAATAAGTTTCTCACTAGTTAATATTTTCAAAATAGTTTCAACTTAATGTAGCCATCCACCATAGATATGCTTGGTAATTTTTACAGTACATCGATGTATAAAACCTTCAAAACGACAAGAACAATTGCTTTTTGCAGTCATTAAAATTGAAGAAGACAAAGAATGAATAGATATCACAAGCCTGGTTATGTATTTTTCTTTAGATAGCCAGTGACAATTCAACTAACAGTTCAATACGTGAAGATGATAAAGATGAAACACTGGAGAAAACCACTAGATGAAGAAATTGATGAAGTCACAAATGTACATCCATGAATGCAGACATGATGTTATCTGAACTATACTATAAATTGGAAACAAATTGTGTTTGAATCCTGAAGTGAAAGATAATAATTGCTTAGTAAATGTATTCCACATAAACTTTGTGTCAATTTCAGTTGATATAAATAATTACAACCAAAGCTGTTGTACAAGCTGGGAGAGAAATCACAAGTAACATAACTTAACAAAGTACTTCCCACTTTAATCTGTTGTATGCACCTAAAAACTTGTTTTAACCCTCTTAAAAATTTTAAAATGCATTTAGAAATATGACACAAATTTACACTTTTTAAAAATCTTAAAGTGAGGTATGAATACTTTGTAAAAACAAGTAAAATTAACCTTATCTTGAAATATTTGCACATCTAATATCATCACAACCGAGTGTCTTGCAAATCATCGTCAGACTCAACGTCAGCGTCTGTTCCATCATCTGTATCACCCATTGTCCACTGCTGTTTCTTTTTCCTAAGTGACTCTAAAATCTGCTCGCCCTCCTCCTTGCGGCAGAGTTCAACTGGTATCTCCTCCTGTTCAAAAGGTACGTCGCTGTGGTTGGCAAGCCACATGGCCACGCGGTCCGTCATACCGTGGTGGTAATCCTCCTCAATCCCAATCAACTGCGACTCCATGGCAGCCGCGGTCACAGACTCTGGTTTCTCCATCAGCTGAAAGTGAACGGGTGAGCTAGCTTCACTGTGTCTCCTTGATATAGGAGGCTCCAGCCTCTGGTTGTTAGGCTCAAGGCAGGAATGGTAAGAGGGGGGGACTAGATCATGGGCAGATACCAGGAAACACGAAGCCTTGTCTCCAGCGTCCCGAGCTTTAAGAGACATACTGGGCAAGGGCTCATCGCTGAAAGTATTCTTGTTGGTGTCGGTAAAGCTCCAAGGCGGGGGTATAGATGGTAGAACAGTGTCACTGTGTGGTGGCGTGCTGGGGGGGAAGATATCAAACACAGGGCGGGGGTGTGGTTCTTTGGGCACCGCGGTGATGGTGTTGTTGGGGGACTGATAGGGCGATCCTGTCTCAGTCAGGTGGCTGTATGCCAGGTTGTCTGCCCACGAGGGGGCCTCAGACATGAGGGGGTTCTCGTCATCAGGAAGACTCAGTGAAACAGACGAAGGCACGGGTGGCAGGGATGTAGTACGACGCCAGGGTAGGGAACTCTCTGCTAGAGTTTCCTCTTTGGTTGACCTGTCGTCGTCCTCATCCATATCTGACTTGTGGCTTCCAGTGCAGCATTCCGACTCTGACTTGCTGCACTCTGGAATGCTGGAGTCCTCCACAAAACTGTTGTTCTGGGGACTTGGAATGTTGATAGGCTTGGTGCAGGAGACATTCCCTGGACTGGTGGACAACACCTCAGGGTTGATGATGTAGGTTGAGCAGGAGTTGGTGGTGGGTGAAGGGTTGGAGACTAGCAGGGTATCGCCGCTGGATGTTTTGTTGGGGCCATTGCTGTGTGGTGATGAGGAATCTAACACTGGTGCAGGTGAGTGAGATGGAGATTTCGCAACTGGAGAACAACAAAAGGAAAACATGAATACATTTATAGTTTCAACATAATAATAAGGTGCATGTCAAGCGTGCTGAGAACTTGTTGTGGAACACCAAATCCATATTAGTGCAACTGGTTAGTACAAAGCTCCTGGGATATACATGTAAATAAATCATTGATAGTCTTGCAGTCCTTGTGGCACCACTGGCCTGATTTCACACAACCTCATACAACTTTTTCCTCATTCCACCTGCGAGTATCTCCAAGTATGCACTTCCTACCTTGTGTCAGCATTCTTTGTCTTCTAGTTGCCTACCCTTTGGTCTAGAGCTATAGATTCCCCTGTGCTAGCTAAAGAAAACAAAACAAGTTATTTACTGACATAACTGTGGTGACTCTCTGGCCAATAACAGGCTGTTTATCACACATGTATGTCATTGCTAAATATTTTAGAAAACCTTAACCGCTGCTTAAATATACAAATCTATTAAAAAGGTAAACTTAACAATGTCATTGATGAAACATTCAACAATAATATTAATAATTATAATATTATTATTGTAATATTGTATTATTATAATAGTAATAAGTGATATATGAAATGACGGAAAGAAGTCAAAGATGATCACCTTTGCTATTTTTCTTTGCTGGGGCTGGCATACCGAGAGTGAAGACAACTTCGGGCGCAGTAGGAGAGTCATGCGGTAGAACAGAGGTTTCTTTCACTTGAAATCTGGACTTTGGCTTTGACAAAGTTTCAGTTGGATTTGATGCTGTCTCATGGGCTGTAGACAAAGGTGGAAAACACTGTACTATAAATGTTACAGTTGAATGTGACAACATCAGCCGAGGCACAATTTATTGACAAATCTATTATAGAAATTATCTAATTTCTACACTTGTCTTTGACGTCAAATCTATAGAGCTAATTGAAATCCATGCTGTTTTCTATAACCTTTTCAATACTAGGAAGTCACATTGATTATATAATGCTATATAACAAAACATAGAAAGCCTTGCGTGGCAGTATTTCTTAATAGAGATAAATACAAAGGTTGCAAGATATATTATTATGCTACAGCTGCAATGGGTCGGAATTTATAGTTTCATTGTAGAGACACTCCATACAAAATATAGAAAGATGCTTTGTAAATAATGTATCTAAGCCTGTGGGTTTTTTCTTCATTTAGACCACGGCATGTTGGCAACCTCTCAACTGCTAAAATGAATGGTTGAATATCAGCAGGATGTGTCAACAATTTGAAATGTGTTATGAGATAACTATTAGTGTCAGTTACAGACTAGATTATGGGGAAGGAAGTGAGATGTTTTTTTAATGCATCAGATTTAACTATGTAATCAAATTTCTTAAATGTAGAATATTACATTTAAGAAAGTGAGTACCTAATAATCATTCTATATAAATATAATAATCATTCTATATAAATTAAGTCCAACAAACAGAAAAATGAGCTTTGATATATTATACCTTTAGTCATTGCTAGGGATTTTAGAATTTTAAAACAAAAAAGTGGTTGGTCTGTAATGGAGTAGCCTTACAAATTTAATGAAACAATTAGTAGAAAAGGGTATCATTGGGAAGCAGTTTAAATGGCTTGATGGAAAAAGTAGATACAGTAGAGTTAATCTTTAGATTTTATAAAATAATTGTGTGGCAATTAATAGAAAAAGCTGAAAGTAAAACTTAAATTCACCTTTGTGTTAAAACTTGAGGTGCATTGGCAAAATAACCAAACTATGTTCTATATTTAATTTGTTTCTATGTTAATAATTGTTTGTTCGAAATCACAAACTTACACCCCATAGCTAATGTTAGCTAGAACAGATGACTCCCTTATTTATACCATACCTCACTTGTCTTATAAACCCAAAAAAAACTGTAAACAAGATAATGTTCACTTGTGCCATAAAAAAAGAGTTCAAAGAACAGACATCAGTGACTCATTCAGCTTTCTATTTTTAAATTTACTGAGTAATTTTCCAATGGACAATTCATATGAATGTCGGTGAGTTTTTAATGCCAATTATTTAACAAAGATTAATGGTAGAATTAAAATAAGTAGATAACTATTAACAAGCTAAAAATATCTTCAATATTTAACTAGCCTATTGCCTATGGTAGGATGGTGGTTGAAATGAACAGTTATTTAAAAGATAACAGTATGTACTAAAAATGTAACATATGGTATTTATAATGTTAAAAATGTGTTGTATAATATTCACGTAATAGTATAAAATTGTAAAGCCTTCTGATACTGATAGGTCAGCTCTCACTAAGGAAAAAGTCAAATTAATAAATAAACATACACCTAAAAGTGAGACCTTGTATAATATACAAATGTCACAATTGAAGTATTCATACTGCAACCATTGAATTAGTTAAGCCAACATTTTTCAGCACCAAAATAAAAATGGTCAATATGTGACTAAAAAGTTAGTAAAGTGAGATATGTAGATTTAAAAAAAAAATTGGAGTCTGCAGTAAAAATAAAACATAATTTTACTTAATTAAGATACAAGAGTACTAATTTTTAATTATGTTAACTATTGTAAAGTCTAATGCCTACAAGTATAAGCCTATCATTTTTAATGATTATGACATTAGTGAACTTAAACGCCTTGAAATAGACATCTTTCAAAAACGTCATTGATTAAATTTTCCCAATGAGTGAATTATGAATGAAGGGAGGCTATTGATTTTTATTTTGTTGGTGACCTGTGTGCTTCAGTGTGATTATCCCCTGTAGACACCTAGGTTTACAACCTGTACACCTGCTGTTGCATGTGCATTGTGCCAGTGTTATCATTAGGACTAACTGCAGTTAACTTTAGTCTAAACCAGGGGTCTCCAAACTACGGCCCGCGGGCCGGATGCGGCCCGCGAGGTCCTCTTATTCGGCCCGCGAAGATCTTTTTGTCCACGGAAAAAACGTTTGTTGGTGATGGCTGAGGAACTTTGCCCAGAAAAATCAAAGACATGCCTGGAAGAAACTGGCCCCCGAACTGAAATTTGATAGTTAATGCGGCCCTCGGACTGAAAAGTTTGGAGACCCCTGGTCTAAACAAAGTTTATTCATTAACTGACAAAACCAGTTCTAACCATCACAGCAGGATATATTCAGAACTTGTATTCTCCTGAGCCCAAACCTAGTTAAAACCTTAAGGGCAGGTTAAACCCCCAAATTGAAATTTTGGTGTTAGGACTTTTTTGAGTGATAAGGAAGTTGTAATTAGCATAGTATATGAAAAAAATGCAAAAAAAATCAATAAAAAGTTATGGTTTTGAGAAAATATTTTCAAAAAAGTGTCATTTTTAGGGTAAAATAGCTCAAAATTAGCTCTCATTGAAATCAAAATAACACAGCTTCTGTTTGTCAGAATAACACACATCTTTAATATAGTGTAATATAGGCAATTACAAAAAAGATGAACTAAAACAATTAGAAAATAATAAAAAATGGATTTTAGCCAAATTTTTTAAAAGTGAGACCTAAAATTTTTCCAAAAAGTAGGGAGTAGACTTAGCTTTTTTTTTATAAAATGAGAAGTTTCAAAGATATAGAAATTCTTTTAGTTCAACTTTACAAGCAGTGTTTAGTAAACATGTGTGCAAAATTTCAGCTAAATATCTCAAGTAGTTTTTGAGTTTTAATGATTTAACTGGTACAATTTTGTTGAAAAGTAACATTTTGAGAAAAACGCTAAATAGTGAAAAATATACTAAATTTGAAAAAACGAGAAAAAGCGAAAAGTATACCAAATAAGTCATTTTTAAAACCTCCCAGTTACATAAATTGCATCTGGGACCTCTTACTCAGCAATAAGAACATCTATTTTAGTTAGTTTTTAATTTTTATGTTGCTAAATGTTGCTTAATATAGGTGAATTACGTCATTAGTCTCATTAATTAAAAAATTATAAAAAATACTAGCAATACGAAATTTTGGAAAATGATTATACAAAAATGTTCAGAATTGAATGTAGTTTCAGAAACAATAGATTTTCAAAAATCAACATTTCTGACTTAAATATGTATTTTGGGGGGGTTTAACCTGCCCTTAAGTATGAGTTGAAATCCTGACCATATCAATGCAAAATCTTGACTAGACAGTAACACCTATTTAATAAACTCTATTATAAATTATTTTTACACAACACTTGCTGAGCAATTCCTATTACATGTTCACTTTAGGGCCAGACTCAACTCTTAAGACTAATAAACCTGATATAACAATATTACTAACAACCTGACATTTATTTTAATATGCAGAATTAAAATAGCAGTAGAAAAAAATGCTGTTTATATTTTTTGGGAACTGCTTTGGTATTAACATTAGAAAGTTTGATTACTGTAGCTTACTACCAGTTACCTAACACCCTTTTTTTAAAAAAAAGATTCTATAATTGTGGTTCACTAATGAAGCATACACCAAGAGAAATCAAGGTTAAATTGTTGGTAATTAAGTTACTACAGCTATAGATATGGCATGTATACTTTGAATTGGCTGGACTAAACAAACTGGTTGGTAGCTGATGAGATTTCTTTTTTAAAACAAATGAACCCAAAGTGAAAACTTTTTTTAAATTAAGTAGACCTTAGGCTCCTATTTACTATGGTCTAAGGTCAGGACCTAAGAAAGTCACATGACTTTGTATATATAGTGATCAACAGTAGTTTACTACTTAAAGAGTCTACCTACCTTAGCCTTAGGGGTCAGTGAATGAAAATAATGGATGGATAACATCTAACTGTAGGCCTACTTGTAGTCAGGGAAGGGGAGTGCTAGGACTAGGAGCTAACCAACATTTAAGTTACTTGAATTTGAATCAAAATTAGCTTAGGCATTAAACTAGGCCTTGGCCCGTGATAGATATTAATAACCTACCTAAGATGGATTAAAATATGCAAGAAATATAAGTCTATACGCATATTTTTATATTATTTCACACAATAAAAGGCCTATGGGCTAGGCCTAAATATTATAAATTATAAATAGTTTAGTAGTAACTAAGCCTAATAGGCCTAGGGCCTATTCCTTTTATATTATCTTGACTAATGTAATAAGATGTAACTAACTAGTAGGCATAGTAATCTAATAGTAATATATGGATTGGGTATACCATTACCAATATCAGAAATAATAGGCTTTCCGAAAATATGCGCTTCAGGTTGTTTGTTGTTTGAAATCCCAAGTCTTGCTTTATATTATGGGTTAGAAATTAGGTTTAGGTGTTTGGTAGGATTAGGGTTGGGGTGTGGGTTAGCACTGACATTAGCAAGTTTACTACCTGTAACTTAGGGTTAGGTTAGGTTTGCCTGTCGTCCCTCCTGGGACATAGGCCGCTGACAAGAACTTTCCAGACCCCTTTTTAAACAATATGCTATTTTAGTATTTTTATTGCGCCTTTATCAGACATTGATAGGTCTACATCTTAATTTTCTAGATCTATTAAATAAAAATCTAGTCAAATAGGCCAGGGGTCTCCAAACTACGGCCCGCGGGCCGGATGCGGCCCGCGAGGTCCTCTCATCCGGCCCGCGGAGATCTTTTTGTCCAAGGAAAAATCGTTTGTTGCTGATGGCTGAGGAACTTTGCCCAGAAAAATCAAAGACATGTCTGGAAGAAACTGGCCCCCGAACTGAAAATTTATAGTTAATGCGGCCCTCGGACTGAAAAGTTTGGAGACCCCTGAAATAGGCCTACATTGTTTTATTCTAGAAATCTCAATTTTTGTCTAAATCTAGATCTAGATAGATTCTAAT